CATTGTCATATGCTTTGTGAGTGGGAAAGTAAGGAGGCACGGCTGCTGGCTGGCATTCCCACGGACCTGCCAGTCATGCCTAGAGATTCCCATGGGACTGGGTCCTGCATGTAAGCATCAACCTTTGTGTTTTTTGCTGTGTGAAAAAAGTTGAGACATGCTGCATAAGTTTGGACTCATGCCTCCTTGGGCCAGGCTCAGTAGGAGTGGGGTTCAGAGGCCCCATGACCTGCACACACACCTTCCCCTGTCATCTAATTCCTTCTTACTAAATCTACCTCTTCTAAAACATTTTCTCAGATTCTTTCCTCTCCTCACTCAGCCCATACTGGGCTCCTGTGCCAAGTGGCTTTTGTTGGAAGACATTTGGATACTAATTCTTAACCTCTACCCTCTGTGCTCCAAGCTAGCTGGAACCCCTGAATTTCTAGCGCAAATCACAGGATGGTCACCCAGGAGTACATTAGCCATGATAGCTGAGGGATGAGGCTGGTCCTACTGTCACAGAAGCATGGGAAGGCAGGGAATGAGCATAAGTCCTCAAGGGTTTCATTCTTCTGAATCCCAACCTGTGCCAGTCATGTGTGGACAGATCTCCTGGGAACCTGCCATTGTTTGCCCCTTCAACCTCTCATGTGGCCCTAGACACCTTGCCTCAAAGGTCTAGACTTGCCCCTTAGGCGTTGATGGGTTCTCCTCCCAGCAGCCCCTATACCATCCAGTTTACACCTGTAGTGATGGAGCCCCTGGCAGCCTTGGCCTGCTTCTGCTGTAAAACCATCAACTTCTGATGCGGAACATAAGCCTTGACTCCAGAAAAGGGTCTTTGGTTCTTTTTTTTAAAAAAAGATTTCTTTTTATTTTATGTGTGCGAGTTTCTACCTGAATTATATGTATGTGTACCAGGTGTGTGCCTGGTGCCTACAAAGGCTAGAAGAAGGCATTGGATCCCCTGGAACTGGAGGTACAGAAAGTTGTGAGCTGCCACATGGGTGCTGGGAACTGAACCCTGGTCTTCTGCAAGGGCAACAGGTGCTCAGCAACTGCTGAGCATATCTTTAACCTCTGGCCTCCTTTTCTGGCTTCCTGGTTCTGGAAGTTCTGGAAAGTTCTAGAAGCCTGGACTCTGAGGCTTCTGGAGTAGTAATGTAGAGTTCCATTTTGGGTTAGTATCTTGTATACAGGAAATGTTCACTAAATTATTAAGTGCATTCCTTCCTCAAGTCTTCCCCAATCATCCATCCATCTATCCATCCATCCATCCATTCATCCATCCATCATAAAATAAATGGCTATATCTGTAAGAATCTTCCACTTGCAATTATAGATTATTAACCTATATAAGAGCGTGGACAGTCACCAGAAGGAATTTACAAAACCTCTACTGGGTCTTGGTCCAGGAGTCAACGTTCTCTCTCTGGTATTTCTGGAATTAGACATATTTAGAAAGCTTTACATACAGTGTCAACTGTGGAATTACCATTGAGACTTACAGTTTATAGGGCCGAGGATAGACATTTGTCTGTGCAAGGTGCAAGTCTCCACAAATATGTTATGGATTCTTGAATAAATAAGGAGAGTATTTTGGACTCCCACTGTCCATGAGACTTTGGAAGGTTGCTGGCTGGTGTGGGGCTGGAGCCTACCTGGGGTTGTTCCAGGATGATTAATTCAGACTTGAGAAATATTGTATTATTGAATGGGGATAGAGTTTCTCAAGGATTGAGAGATTTCTAGTATACAGGTTGAAAGGAGAGACTGGGGACAAGCTCAGAGTGGGAGTGATCAACTGAAGGATTTCTGTCAGAGGTTTAACTTCACAGACACTTCTTTGAATAAGGGAAAAGATATGCCAGTACTCACTTTTTAAGTCTTTTTCCTCATGTGTTATTTTCTCTAACACTTCTAATGCATGGGAGATGTCCCAACTGTGTACAATCTTGAAGGCTGGCTATGAAGGGAAGGGCGATGAGAACCTGGGGCATGCTGGGAAGAAGACACCTTCCTTGTTTCCTGGAGGCTTGCTGGCAGCTGTAGCAACTTTGCCTAAAGCAAACAGGGTGGAGAACCATTTCAACGAATCAAGGGCTCCAGGACTGGAGAGCTGGCTCAGCAGTTAAGAACCCTGACTTTGACTATTCTTATAGAGGACCTGGGTTCGAATGATGACTAACAACCATTTGTAATTCCAGTTCCAGGGAATCTGATTCCCTTTTCTGACCTCCGCAGGCACTTAGACACATGCAGGAAATACACATACACATTAAAAAAAAAAAAAAAAAAAAATTACGGCTTCATGGGGGGGACGACCCCCTTTTTTCTCAAATAAATCAGAGGCATTGGCACCTTCAAACAATGGGGTGGGAGAAGGAAGATCAAAAGTTCAGGGTCATCTTCAGTCAGCTACCCAGAGTTTGAGGTCAGCCTTGCCTACATGAGACCATGTCTAAAAAAAAAAAAAAAAAAGAATTAGGGCTTCATGTGGGAGACGACACCCTTCTTTCTCAAATATATCAGAGGGATTGGACCCTTAAAACAAAGGGAGGCTGACCTTGGGGTGATGGAAAGCTGTTTGGGGTACTGGGTATAAGGGACTAAATCCTTGATAAACAAACAGGGTCGATAATGGAATAATAAAGATGGCACACATGCTTCTTTTGGTCTAAGACAGACATGGCAGGCTTTTTCTCCCATCAGCAGGGCCCTTTTCTGGCTGATTGGTCCAGACCAGTTTAGATAAGACCAAAGACAGACCTGGCAGCTTAGAGCTGTGACCTAGGGGTTCTCTTTTCTTTAAGTTGACCAATCAAAAAATAGGGGAGGGAGATCTGCCCCATACCAGGAAAAACACTTAAAAAGCCCGAGGCCCTCTGTGGGGGTTGGAATTTTCAGTTTCCTAGTCCCCTCTATACTTGTGGAGAGTTTTTCTTTCTGAGTAAGTGTATGTGTATGATTCTTTATCTTTCAGTAAAGCCTGTTTGCCTGTTTGCTATGACATATTTCCTGCTTTTTTTTTTTTGTCTTTTTGAGACAGGGTCTCCCTGTAGCCCCAGCTGACCTGGAACTCGCTATGTAGACCAGGCTGGCCTCAAACTCACAGAGATCCGCCTGCCTCTGCCTCTGAAGTGCTGGGATTAAAGGCATGCACCACCACGCCTGGCCCTGCCCTCTTAAGTTAAATTTTTTTCTTTTTCAATATATATATTTTTATTGAATTTTTGTGCATTTCATACATCTTATTCATAGTTAGACCCCCTCCCCTATCTGTACCCACCCCATATTCCCCTCCCCGATGGATTTCAGGCATTCTGTTATATATGTTAAAACCTGTCAAGTTTATGTTCCCAGATGTCTCTCTGTGAGTTCATCCACTGGAGCCTGGTCAGCCTATCTAGCATGATTCCCTTAAAGAAGACAAACTCTCCCTCACCCATCACTGATCAGCTGCCAATAGTTCCTCCACTAAGGCTGAGGCTTCCTGACTTTTAATTCTTTAATTGGTAGAGAAAACAAACTCAGCCATAACCCCTAGATAATAATGAGGCCACAACATGGGGACACTCAAGAGAGTCAGTCTCAGTTGTCCCGAGGCACTCACTCCCAGAGTGACCCCGTCTTGAATCGCTCAGGTCTAGATGATGTGCTATGAGCACCTTTTGAGACGGGAATAAGCCTTAAGAAAGCTTTGAGAGTTTACTTCAGCTGTGTATGAAGGGTGTGCACAAAGGCCCGCAGGTATGAAAGTCTGAGGGCTTGACTGGGTAGTCCATGCTCCCAGGCAGCTACTGTGAAGGAAAGTGGTGGGGAGGGCCTAGTGCAGCTATCCTGCTGGCAGAAATGGGAGCGATCCCTGATTCAGGGCATCTGAAATGCCACACACGTTAAGCAGTATGTTCTGTACAAAACACCAAGGATAGTGTAGTTATCAGTAGCTCTCAGTTATCAGCAGTGGGAAACTGTTGGAAATGCAAATCCTGGGGCTACCCTGAGGCCTGCTGAGCAGGAACCTGGGGGGCCTGTGCTTTCATGAGCTGCAGGCCAAAGTTTGAGAAGCATTGGTGCGGTGGAAAGAGCACTAGTCTTCGGATAGCAGTTAGGTTACGGGGCTGGGTTGGGCTGGGCTAGGAGACAGGTATGAAGCTTACAACCCAGGGCTCATGAAGGTGTTCTGAGTCTTACACTGTTCTATATCCGTCTAGGCTCAGAGTGATTAAACGACCCATCAAAGGCCACTCTGTGCCAATCTGACTCCCAAAGGAGGGTTTTTCCTACCACTGCTTATTGTTCCCTATCATCACTGAGTGGAGTGGTCTGGCCTGGGTGGAAGGAAGGGGTCTACAGCTTGCTGCTCCTTCCTCCAGAGTCTGGTGTAGGCTAGCCCCTGAGGCCAAAGGGAGTGATATGCCATTCCTGGCCTCAAAGGACAATTATTTGAGTTTTGGTAAGGTTTTCCAAGCACCGCAGGGAGCTGGCCACCACACTTTCCTCATAGGGCTGATAATTTAAATGTGAGGTTGAGTGAGAAAAGTACCTATGTACTGTGATCAGAAGTACTCTAAGCAGAAAAGAACACAGAGCGGGAAGAATCCCATGCTACTAAAGGAGCTTTCTTCTTTTCTCTTGATGTTGTTCTATGTGGTTATAATCATGTGTCTGATGAATACGCATCTGTTTATTTGTAAAGCGCAGCATCGTTGTGGTAGGCCCTGTGCCTGGTGGTGGACAGTGCCAGGCTGTCCTGCCCCTTGGAATCTGTCTTTGAGGCCAGTAAGCACATCAACCAGGATGGGACGTGGCCTGGGGACAGTTTGGCACTAGTTGTCGTGATAATTGCCTTGGTTTTGGCCTCATCTCTTTAAAAACTGAGGCCTTTGGGTCTCCTGTGACCCTTTGGACCCTCTTTATGACAGCTGAGGCCTGGGACTCTAGGCTTAAGATGGGGTCTTCCTCTAGCCCTTCCTTGTAACTATTCTGTCTCCCAACAAAGGCCACTGCACACCTTTAAACACAAAATATTCTTTTATTTGTCAACGAAGGCTACAACGGGATCACTTCTGGTTTTGTTTTTCTGCTTTTTTTTCTTTTTCTAGAAGGTATCTACATCTGCATTTATTTACAGCCTTGTTGGTATTTACACAGTCAAGAATACAGTGTTAGAAACACAAAAGTGTTGAGAAAAAAACTTCTCAAATTAGTTCCAGACTTCAGGGAAACTAATTCCACATGGTAAGGCCAGAGTCTCCAGTGTTGGTCGTCCAGAGGCAGCTCAGGATGGTCCTTTGCCAGAGCTGTGGGTTCAGAAGTCCTCAGAACAACAGGCGCATTTAGAACAGTGGGGTTCTGGCTGTGGGTGGATTGGGGTTGCTGGGTGCCACCAGACATCTGTGGGTCAGCAGCTGGGATGCCGAGCCTGCCCATGGGCAGTTATCCCTCAGTCCTCTGCCTTCAGAATCAATCACATTTTTTCTTGGGGACCAGGAGTTTGCCCAGTCTCGTGCCTTTGGCGTTCCACAGAGGGTTAGAAACACAACATGGAGTCCCATCAAGGCCCCTAAACACAACACAGGGTTTCACCCTGGCCTCTGATCTTCCACACCACAGTCAAACCTCAGAACACACCACTGTTCAGGGCAGTCAAGTACACAAGCTGGTTTTTGAGAATGAAAGGTTGGAGAGGATAAAGTTTCTCTCTGTCACCTGAGCAATGAGTCTTTAAAATGAGTTTGCTGTATTGGGAAGGCTAAATAAAAGGGTCTTTAACTATAGTTCTTTTCTTCACTTCCTTCCCTTCAACAAAATACAGACAATAGTTTTGACCTCGCTGGGGATGGTGTGCCTCACGTGGAGGGATTGTAGTCCTGATGAGGATCCCAAAGGGAAGGAGAGACTGGGTCTTTCTGGGACTCCATGGGAGGTAAGTCTCCCCCCAATCAGGATCAGGATCCACCTCCTGGGCTAAGTGGCTGCTATGATGGATGAAAGACATTCTCAACTTTATACAATGGGTGATCAAACCCCACAGCCCAGCATCATGCTGAGGGCCAGCAAGCTCATCCTCCTGGGCACAAAGCCCAGTATCACTGCTCTTACCACGTGCCCACCACAAATGCAAGGGCTGCGATTGGTAAAACTGTGTTCTGAGATGTCACACTGAAAGCTTTGTCTTCTATAAAGGCAATACTTAAAAGTCGCAGCTGAAAGACCCTTTCTTCTTCTTTCCCTGCTCAGTGCCTATAAAGCACCATCGGGTTTATGCAGCGCCCTGGCTTCACCATCTGCTGCTTCCTGCCCCATCCCATCCCAGTTATTTGCAAGCACCTGTCCTGGCCAGCTTCAACTGTCCATCAGTTTCCTCCAGACCTTCCACCCCTCAGTAGAGACAGGCACTGGTGTGGTCCTTGGGCTAATTCTCAGCAAGTATTCTGAGCCAAGTGTCCGAGGCTGTCCAAGGTGTGGTTTACCACAGAACTCCCCCAATGTCATCGGTGGATATAAAGGGAGTCTCATGGTTTAAAAGACAAAGTTGAGGGATTAGTAAAGTCTTATTTAAGGTCATGGAGAAGGGGCAGAAGATGAGGGGCTCATTGGCAGTTGTGGAAGGTAGAGCAGAAGGTAGAACTGTTCTAAAATGAATCTTCTAGGTTCAGAAGCCAACACCCCAAAGAATCATGAACCTTAGTCAGTGAGGGAGGCCTCGTCACTCTAACAAGTGGATAGATTTAGTTAGTGCCCAAAGGACAAGTGCTGTTCAGGATGGCATTTAATGCTCAAAGCCCCCTAAATAGGTGCAAAGAACTATTGCTCATGCCTTCAAATCCACCTTTGTCAAGGCATTGGGACTGCAGGTCCCAGCAGGAGAGACTGTTACCTCCCAGCCTGAATGTACTCCAACTCAAAGGGGCCAAGGAACCTGTTCTGCTAGGACAGCACTAGTATGAGATGGAGGTGCATGGTACTGCCTAGCCCACGGCTGAACTCTGCTAGAGCTCAGGGATGCTTACATGTCTCCCCAGTAGAAGCTAGGTCTTCTTGGTGGAATGCAGCCCAGGAAAAATATAGGATCATTTCTTTTTACAAAAGAATACTCAATAATTCATTGTGTTCTTTGAGTCCTAAAAATCTATTACTTGAGGGAGAAGGGCAGGGAAAGAGGGAGACATAGGCTGAGGAGGTACAAGCAGATGGTTCCCTAGGGTCACATGCTGTCTCTGACTTCCAAGTAAATATCTCCAGTGGGTCTTGATCAATGTCAGGAAGCTGGGATGAGACAGGTCAACTAGGCCAACTGACAAGAGTGCTCTGCCAAAGGACCCTTATAGCAAAAGTACATTTTGAGAGGCATAAGACTCTTGGATAAAAAGTCTTGTGTTCTTCAGACCAAACTGTTTTCCATCTCATTTAAGAATTATCATAGCAGATGGGAGTCTCCATCACCAATTCATGCCAGGCACAGTGGGCCTGAGGGAGCATCAAATCTGGCCAAGCAGAGTCTGGTCCAGAGGAAACAGGCAACCAGTGGACAAGCAGGCCATGACACACTGCTACAGCAGTGTCTCAGTTTTTTTTGGAATCAGGAAGAGCACTTAGCGAAACATCCTCTAATCCCAGTGGGACAACATAAGGCGAGAGCTCCCCTCCCCGAGAAGCTTTGGACACCTCCCTCTACTAGGCAGAACCCAGACTACACATTGCTTTGATTCTCATGCAGTAAGAGACCTTCTTGGTTTCATTAACTCATGTCATATTCTGAAGATTCTTGTGTAAGGCTATAAAAGTGCCATGAGCTTATCAGTCCAATAAAGTTTCCACAGGGAATAGCTCAGACTCAGAATTCATTTTCCACACTTAATGTAAATGTTACCCATAAAGGTCCCATTTTCTAAGAAGCCCAGCTCAAAAGGAAGCATTTGCATCCCCTCCTTTCTCTCTCAGAGCCTCCTGTGGGTGCTAATGACAATGGTATCTAGGCAGCCTAACCAGGAAGGGAATCCTCAAGCCAGGAGCTCTTGCTGTGACACTCCTCTGCTCTCCTTGCTTCCCCTGGCTTGCTGGCTGCTGCCTCCCTCTGGGAAGCCCTCCAGCGTGGGCTTCATCTGCTCCCACCCTCTTCTAGGTGCTGTGTGCAGAGGTTTTCATGGGAACAGTGCTAGCCGGGCCTTCTGGATCTATGGGCACCACCATCCTTGATCCTGCTGGGGTTGTATGACACTGATAGGTCACACTAAATTAGCTCTTTTCTCCTTATTTAAAAATTTAAAAAACAATCCTGGCTGGGATTCTCTAGTGGAGAACTTCATAGATGGGATTTCCTGAATGTTTTGAGGCTCTGGGATCCCGAACCTCTGGGATTAGCCTGTACAGGGGAGGCAGAGGAGATTTCAGGAGCTGGTTAGAAAAATGCTTGGTTCACACCTTTGCTGACTCCTTTCTTTGGCTGACTTTTTTTTTTTTTCTTTTATATCTTTCCAGGATCAAAGGCCACCAAGCACCTCTTGCCACACTCCTATTTTTAAGTGGTGGCAGCTGAGCATTGGAAGGAAGATACCCAAAGTCATGGGGACAGGGTTTCCTCTCCTTCCCTGGACATAGAGGGCTCGCTGTGCAGTGCTGGTTCTCACGTCTGGCTTTGGGAGAGAGGAGGAGATGAGCAAAGGGCATCATGGAGGATCAGCCATTCACAGACATCCTGGGTGCTGTCACCTCTTGTAAAGGATAGGGCTCGAAGCCCCAGGATGTTATATCACCAGACAGGGGAAAGGAACTGGGATACTTTCTCTACCCCAATATGGGGGTGGGGGGTGGCAGGGGTGGCACTGACAACTACACGAGAGATTTGCAAAAGGGGGAGGAGGATTCATTTAGCATCAAAATATAAAGCTTGGACAGGAGTTTGGGGCAGCTTGACAAGGTGCTAAACAACGTGATGAAATTTTCCAGGGCAAGATGAAGCCATCTGTGGTCCTCAGGAGGTACAAAACATGGAAGGGCAAAACCCACCACTTGCCTGTGGGAGATTAGCCAAAGCTCCTGAGGTTCTACAGGCCCGTCACTCTATGCACCCCTCACCCCTGCCTGACCCTAGTCAGAGAAGAAAGGGCTGCACACGAGACAAGTTAGCACAGACAGTCGTGTCTCACATCACACCAGGTACCTAGGGACAGACAAGGACACAACCCAGGAGATGTGTACCCCAAAGAGAGGAGAAACATACCCCAAACAACAGGGAAAATTCTTCAAGGAAAAGAGGAACAAACGACAATAAAGGTTTCATCGTGATCACACTTCAGAAAAAAAAACCCAAAACCTTCTGTTCTTTGCAAAAATGTGTGAAGGCCAAATTTGTGTTTTTTCTTTTCTTAAAAAAAAAAGGATGTTGCATGAATTAACAATGCAACCAGTATCTTTTTGTTTTGTTTTCTGCACTTGTTAAAAAAAAGTTTTTGTTTTTTGTTTTTTAAAGTACAACACAGTCAGGTATACGGCCACAGAAGAGTAGCTGTCTTTGGCAAGAAGTCCAGGCCTCAGCCCTTTCTGTCACCTTCGGCCCATCTCGCTCTGTCTCATGAAGTGGATGTTGTTGGCGCTGTCTGACAGTTCTGGGTACTGCTCGACGGAGATCACGAAGAAGCCGTCATAGCCTTGTACCCGCCCTGTGTTCAGCACCTGCTGCTTCTCCCCCTCTGTCCAGGCCCGTAGGCCTTCCTCCCCTTCCCGCAGTCTCTGCTGCTCTCGGGCCCAAGCCTGACGTACAGCTCTCTGCCGGGCCAGCTCCAGCACCCGTGCCTTCTCCTCATCCAACGTCGTCCCGTAGCGGGTGTTCAAACACAGTGCCCTGTACTGGAGCTGGATATCAGTGTAGCGTCTAGTCCTGCCATTGAGCATGGTGTTGATCTGGGACACAGTGACATTGACCCCATTCTCCAGGGTTCGCTTCCCCCCACTGAGGCCTAGGATGGCCAGGTCACCATCTGAAGGTCCTGGTTTCACAAAATAGTGGGTGTCCATCCCATCAATGGTGAAGTGCAGGTTCTCTAGATAGTGGGCATTGTTTAAGATGGCTGCAATCCTCCGCCCATCCTCATTGGCCACACTGATGATGTCTGTGGTCACTCGACCATCCTTCAAGGCAAACTTGACCCCCTTGCCAAAGATGGAGCCACTAGAGGCAAACATTTTGGTCTCTGGGGCTTGCTGACAGCTGGTGATAGTGGAGCCGTAGAGCTGGTCGAAACGTTCTAAGGTGACAAAAGCCTTCAGTTGCTTCTGGACTTCACATTGTACCCCGAGGATAGACTGATGAGGGAGGACAGTGAAGAAAGAGGGAGAGTAAGACAAGGGGAAAAAAACAAGCCCAATAGCATAGAGAATCAGTTTAAACAGCGAAATCAAATCTATACATATTTATTGCCTGTAGCATCTGTCTCTAGTGCTGATCATCAGAACACCCAGCCAGCCACCTTTCATCCATCCATTCCCCCACCTTTCTATTCAGAGCCAGTTTAGGGAGAATCTGCTCTGGCCAGGTCTTTTTCTGAGAACTGGAGATACAAAATGAATCAGACATCATCTTTGCCCTCAAAAAACTCATTGTTTCATGGGGAAAGACAGATATGACAACAATAATTACAATCAAACATGATGATTGGGGGGCTGGAGAGAAGTCTCAGTACTTTAAGTCTTATTGCTCTTCCAGAGAAGCCGGGTTCAGTTCCCAGCACCCATGTGGTGGTTAAAAACCATCTGTAACTCCAGTTCCAGGGGATCTGATGCTTTCTTCTGGCCTCTGTGGGCACTGCACACACGATGTACTTCATACACATGCAGGCAAAATATTCATACATATTCACAAAATAAATAAAATCTCGACTTATTGGTGGTCTAATAGAAGTAATATTATCTAACGTTTCTTGATCTTCAAGTTAAACAATTACCACTACTCATCCTGTTTGATTTCCACAGTAGGTACTATTATTTTGATTTCACTTCTAAGGAAACTAAGGCTGACAGGGGCTCATTGTTGGTCTGCCGTTATACCATTCACATTAAGTCAACAATCAGACCAGGTTTGTCTGCCTCTAGAGGCCAGTGTCAAGGGCAACTGCAGCAGGGGAAGCAAACAAGGTTCAGAAGATTCTCAGCCTAAAGGTAGAAGAGAGATGAAGAAGGTGGGGATCCAAGGACAGGTCCAAACTTGAGTTAGGACTTAAAAGATGAAGGAGATGACATTAGGGGAAGGAATGGCAAGAAAGAGGGAAAGACATGGACTGTCTCAAGCCTCTTACCCTGTTCTGTTGCTCTGTATCCCCTTTACCCATGTCTTTTGGGGCTCTGCCCCATAGTGCCTCCTTGAGCCTCCTTCAAGGGTCGCTGTACTTGGCTTCCATGGGGTCAGGTTGGACCTTGTCATCTTGGTGTACTGCCTGTCTGCCTCTCCTATGTCTCAAAGTGCTCAGAGAAGCCATGTTCAGGACTCCAGGGCCTTATCAGCAACTCAGGGAACAGGCTTTAGAAACAGCCCATCGGCCTCCCGCTGAAATTAAGTCCTCTTTATAATTAATAGAACCCTGTCTGTGAACAATTATTTCCTAGAGTTTCACAAAAGCTGGAGTACTCAACAACAAAGATCTCCGATGCTTGCCAAGGGCAGAAATCAATAATTCATTGACAGGCAAGGTTGGCAAACAGGCAGTCAGAGACAGAGACTCTGGGGAGCACAGAAGGAACCTGGTGGGGGAGGAAGTGCTATGTGGCTGGAATCAGTCTTGGGGACAGATGATGCTGGGACATCTGGGTCAGGGCTTGAGGTGGTAGGGACAGGGGCAGACTAGGGCTACAGACCATGGCAGAAAGAGGAGGGGCTCTGTGACCAGGATGACTCGAGTTTTCATCTTCTGCCATTTTCCAGCTGAACGTCCTTGGGTAAGTCCCCCTCTGAACCCATCCTTCTTACTTAGGGCTGCTCCCATGGTTTAGTCGCTGAGTCGTTCAATGGATGTTTTCTGTATACCTACAATGTACTAGCCTGTATTCTGGGCACTAATTGAGACGTAGAATTTAACCTGTTGGAGCTCAGAGTCTAGTGAAGAGATAAAGCAAACAGGAGTTAAAAGTGTGGGGGAGTGCTTTGCAAGAGGTAAACACAAGGGAACCACCTGAGCAGACTCTCATTCTGGAGTCTGGGAGGAAACAGCTAAGCTGGCCTAAAGGATTCAGTCTGGAACAAGAATAAGGATGCAGGGCTGGGGAGCTGGCTCAGTTGGTAAAGTGCTTGCCTTACAAGCATGAGGACCTTAGTTCAGATCCCCAACACTCAAGTAAAAAGATGAGCATGAAGGCAAACGCTTGGAATCCCAGGGCTGAGGAGGCAGAGACAGAAAGATCACTGGGGTTTGTTGGCTCATTAGTCTGGCTGAATCTGAACCCCAGGTTCAGTGAGGAACTCCCTTTCTCCAAAAAAGGTGGAGAGGTGCATGCACATATATGCACATACACATACACACACACACACATATGCATGTGCACACACATACACACACACACACACACACACACACACACACAGAGTGGGGAGGACATTGGGATATGAACATTTCCAACAACCAGGATCAAGCCATGTGGCAATACTACTCCCTGCAGTTTACTGTCCCTGGACTGGGCTTGGTCTCTGCTGATCTACACTTGCATTCAGTTGCCCACAATACAGGCTGGACACAGAGCATGTTCCTGGTACAGAATTTATGAACGGGGTGGAATGAGACTATTTTTAAGGGTTTTTTTTCAGCCACATAAATCTAAGTCTTTGAAATTTGGTCATAAAAGGAAGACAAGAGAAAGTAACCACTTTTCCTCTACCTACAGCTTTCTCAGTCCTGCTCGGCCAAATAACACAGTAACACAGAGTAGACCAATCTGGGTTTGAATCCTAGCTTTAGTCCTTCATTGCTGTGTGGTACTGGAGAGTCTGATGCAATAAACCTATATAATGAGAAGAGAAACACCACGGGCTATTTGTGAGCTGACTTACGTAGAAACATCAGGTGTGTCAGGTGTTCAGAAAATATCACATTTGTATTTAGAACACCCCTTCTCTCTCTTTGTACTTTGCCCACGTAGTGATAACAGCTTATTATTTTGTTGTGGATCTCTGAACTTAGTATAACACAGGAAATGCCTCCATGTGGCCACCTGAGTGTCCATGTGCTGCTATGGTTTGGTCCCCAGGGCCTGCCTCGCTATAGGCTTGTTATATGTTTGCTGAAAGCTCTCTGGCAGGCAATATGAAGGTGTTGCCTCAGTTTCCATCAGAGGCCTGAATTTTCCTGCCCAGCTGGTGGGACCCCCTCCTGCAATGTCAGAATGGGCCAGGGTTAGCTGCCTTGTGGGGAGTTACCTTGCTGTTGTCCCATTCCTGAGTTTTCATCTGTGTATGCACGAGCTCATAGGATGGTTCCATGGCATCTGTGTCTGGTTTAGGATAACCAGGTATCACGTTGTGCAGCTGGAATCCAAAAGTGAGCAGCCAGCTATTGACATCTGGGTGGAAGAGAAGCAGAAATATGACCAGGTAGTCAGTGAACCCCCAGCCAGGAGCTGCAGGCCAATCGAGCAGCCTTAAGTGGCTGCATATGCCTGTGGAGAGTGACTGGTGATGGAGCTAACTGCTACACACATTGGAAAATGGTGCTGTTGTCTTAAAGGCAAATGAGCACTGGACCCCGGCAATCCCTCTCCAAGCATATACCCAAGATCCTCCTTTCAGGGGTTATATCTAAGAGAGATGAAACCTAGGCAGAACCTGGGCTTCGAGATTTCCCTTTCCTCTCACCTCCATCTGTATACCCAAGGAGAGCTGCTGATGGGTCCCATTCCCATCCCCAGCATGAAAGACTCAAAAAGTCAGTCAGACCCAAGAAAGGTTTTAATGGTTGGGTTGCAAAGAGAAAAAAATTCACTTACGAAAAAAATTGTCCTCCCTTTCCTATTCTTTTTGTAGCCACGAGAGCCTCAGGGCCAAGTGCCCCTGGGCATGATGCTGGCCAGCACCAAAATTCAAAAGGCTTCCTCCCATGCTACTGCCTTTTACTTCTGACAGTCCAAGGAAGTCACTCAACTTCCCAGTGCCTTAGTTTGCTAGTCTCTAAGCTTATTTATCACATTCCTTGGAGTTGCAAGTTATAGAAAAGGTTTTGCCATAGCATTTGGCTCATTGAGGAATGGAATCAGAAATCTGCGACCCTGGGTTGGGGATGTAGCTCAGTCAGTAGAGTGCTCGTTTAGCATTCATGAAGTCATGGGTTCAATCCTCAGCATTACATAGATTACAAAAATGCCTGTAATTCCCAACACCCAGGAAGTGGAAGCAGGAAGATCAGGAGTTCATGCTTGGCTAGACAGTATGGACAGCCTTGGCTACATGAGATTATCTTAAAAAAATCCATGACATTAAAACAAGGAAGAGGGTTGAGGTGGACCATTGGTCACCTGCCCTATGTGACAGAGGATCTCTTATGTGCTGGAAGGTACTATGTTATACAGAGCCTCCCATTGAATACCTGGGACCCTGAAGGGGGATGAGACCTGGGTATGAACTTTTAAACACGATAGAGATCACAGGATAATGAAAATATTTTCGGGATAAGCTGACAAGCCCATATGGAGAAGAAGGCATTGAAGCCAGATACAGAGAGAGCATGTCTGGTGCCCATGGTGGCTCTTCAGGCTAAGATAGCTGCATAAGGTGAGGCCTGGAAGGGCTGTGAGGGAGTGTTCAGGTAAGTAGAAAGCAGTTCATGAAGGCTGAGTAAGAAACAGAAAGGATAGAGCCTCAAGTAGCAGGAGGTAGGAGAGCTGGGCCTTGTTGTCTGAGGAATAGTAGTCTGTGTTGCATCACAACTCAGTCTTCTTTGGGAAGGGGCAGAGGAAGTTGCTAAAACGTGTATCAGACAGGCTCAGAATCCAAAGTCTGGAGGGCACAAGGTTTTGAGCCAGCCTCAGAACCAGGTTGGCTCCTTTCTAGTGGAGACAGATCTCTGTTGGGAGGTCCAGTTTGGGATCCAGGCTGGGGAGGAAGTACCTGCCCCTTGCACCTGCTGAGTCCATTCCAGTGGTACGAGTGACCTGTGGGGTTAATAGCTGTGTCCCTTTCACTGTTGGGTGCCATGGTTCTCTCCCATTTAACTACCTCATGTTTGTCTTTGTTTTTGTTTTCAGTTGTCTGTGGCCCCTCCAGTAGGAGCAAACCCAGGAGCTGTCGGGTGGAAACCTAGGAGCCAAGGGGTGGGGAATCCAGGAGCCACAGGGGTAGAAATCCAAGTTCTCCTCACTTCTGTCTTGTTATGCAGATCATGGAAGGGAAAGAATGCAGTAGCTGAGGTCAGACAAACTCACATTCTGGTTCCCTAGTTTTACGGTAAGCTTGGGGACTGAGGTGTAGTCCCCTTATTTGAACTCACAGAGATCTGCCTGCCTCTGCCTTCTAAGTGCTGGGATTAAAGTCGTGTGCCACCACACCCAGCAACAGAAATGGTTTTAAGCAAGTCTTGCAGAAGAATACTGATAATTTCCCAGTTGCAGACAGTTATCTTGTAGTAGGCGCTATTCCAAGCTTGTTCCTAAAATGTTGGATTTAATGTAAATTGTCCAGACCAGCTCCTGGACCAAGGAAGGTTTTCTCAGTTTTCCCCATCCCAGGACTCCCATTTTCTTATTTGTAACAGAAGAGCTTGGACAACTTTTCTCCACAGTCCCTTTTCTCAAGTTTCTGGAAGTCTCTGATTCTATGACTTTAGGCAGATGGGATCTTTGGGAAATTAAAACAAGCCACACAGTAGGGGAGGGAACACCTTACAAAGCCATTTTGCTTGAGGCCGAGAACTTGCATAGGGATTTGTAGTTGCCAAGAAGCTTCTATCTGTAATACTGTCCATTCCCAGGAAAGCAGGGAGCTGAAAAGAGGGCTGGGCTTTAATTATGAGTGATGGAACATGGGAAGCTTTCCTAGTATGCCTTTCAGAAAAATGTCAGGGACCTATTTATTCACTGGTTTTCTACAGGGTTTTTCTGAAGGGGTGGGAATTGTCATCTTACAACATCAGAGGCAGACGTTTCCCTCTTGTTAAAAAGCTCCTCTTTACCGTGTGACCATCCCAGACGTCATTGCTGCCACAAGGGAAGGATGAAAAGCAGGCGATTTTAATCCCTTTCACCTGTGCATGGCTTTGTTCTTCACAAAGTGTATCTGAATTTTAAAAAACCGCCAAGCATTTTGAAGTTAGACACAGTAGAGTTCTAATGCCTGCCTTCCTGCGTCTTTGTGGGCCGGTTACTTTCCCTGTCTGAACCTCACTTTCTGTGTTGGCGTTCCCTGCATCACAGGCTTCAGACGAGGACTCAGCATCTACTTGTGGTGGACATTTTTTGGTTTGCCTTCCCAGCATCCCATTCTGCCTTTCCTTTCTGTGAGGGGAGGGGAAGTGGACCATGTGATGCAGGGTAAATCAATCATTGCCTGCTGTCTTCTCCTACCCCAGTGATTGTGTCAAGCCTGTGTCACATGACCCGGGCCTATCTAACTGGAGCATACGTCAGGACCTTTTTGAGACAGGGTCTCCTTGTAGCCCCAGCTGGCCTGGAACTCGCTAAGTAGACCAGGCTGGCCTTGAACTCACAGAGATCCGCCTGCCTCTGCCTCACGAGTGCTGGGATTAAAGGCTTGCGGTGTCTCAGGACCTTTGAGGACATGTTTAGAAATGCTGGATGTGGGGATACACCTAGGTTACATAGAAGCTAAAAGGTAAGGTTTAGTGAAAGTAGTATCTTAGTATCATATTAACCATTGCAGATATTTTTTGATATGCTAAAAGCTTGATTGTTTCTATGACATCTCTCTTTTTTTCATATGCCACAGGATTCATTATGTAAATGAAATTAATTTTGTGAGGAGCATTTTCATTGAAGTGGTATAGGCTGGACTACAAAATGTAAGTATATCACACTTAAGGATTGCTTTGCAAACCTTTTTAGTGTTTTAGTATGATATTAAAATATTAAAAAAATTTTTTTGAGACAGGGTCTCATATATCCCAGGCTGTGTAGTCAAGGATGACCTTGGATTTCTGATCTCCTTGCTTTTTTCTTCTAGTGTGTTGGGGTCATAGGCATGCACCAGCACATTGGTTTATTTGGTACTGAGGATGGAGTCCAGGGCCTTGCGCATGCTAAGCAAGCACTCTACCAACTGAGCTACATCTCTAGCTCCCCAAATCTTTTTCTTAAGGTGGGCTCACAGTCAAAGACATTTGTGAAGAGTGGCACTGAGCCATGTATCCCATGAAGGCAGGCACTGAGCCCTACTCCCTTCTGAATCCTTAGCGTGGGTCTGGCACAGAGAAGCTATAGTCAACACGATATTTGTTGGACTTAACTGTCTGGGAAATGAAACACAAACTGAAGATATAAGGTGCTTTTTGGATGCCCTTTCGCTTCGTTAAAAGCAGGATTTGGAGACCAGTGTGATTGTCATGTTCGGAAATGTTCTGGAGTCAGAAAGCCCTGGTCTTTGTGACTCTGGGAAGACTCTCAGTCCTTTGGGGCCTCAAATGTCTATCTGTAGAATGCAGATCATTCCAGTGATCTCATGGGTTGTTGCCAGGCTTCAAGGAGACCATATCTGCAAGTGGTTGGCACAGAGCAGTTAATCATGTCAGTGCTATTCTGGAAGGAGACTATATGCATATGGTAGTGTACAAAGGAGGGGGGGAATAATATTTTGGCAAGCTTTAACAATTTTTGATAGAAAATTACATTTCCTATTGCACCATTTTTTCCCCAGCTATAGTTACATGCCAAGTCGTCTCACAGGAAACTCATTGGAGGGTGAGGCAGGGGGCGTGCTTTGTGCAGACAGATGTAATGGAAATGTCATCTTAATCTATCAAGACTTTCTAGAGCTAGCAGCCAAGTTGAGCATGGGGAATGCTGGGAACACTGTCAAAATATGTGTATTTATCCTCAGACCCCTAGCATATTTTCCTGACTCCTGCGCACCACCTCGTTTTCCCTGTGTTTGGGACTCCTCTTAATATAACTACCTGGAATTCTTCCCTGAAAAAGGGATCCTTCTATTGCTGTCAGCAGAAATGGGGTCCAGAGGAGGCCACCACATTTTAGAGCAATGGAACCACGTTCATAAGGGACCCTCAGTGAGCTATCCATGATGCCCTCTCTCCACTTTTGCACACACTGATCCCACCCTCTGGAGTGCCTTTCTCCCCACTACTTGATGAAGCCTATACAGAAGCCAGCTTCAGGGATCAGCTGTTCTTTGAAGCCTTCCTATAATCCCATGGGCAGAGCTAGTCCCTCCTCTGGGCTTCAGTGGCCACCTGTGCAAATCCTTGTCATGGCCCCTTATACTGGACCGGAAGTGTGTCTTCCTTCTGCTAGTGTGGATTCCTGGAAGGTTGGGACCATCTTCCTCAGTGTCTGAAACCAGGAGGCATTTTTGGAATGAAGGAAACTGACATGAAAGAAGGGGCAAGAGGACTGACTCAGGAGACAAGGCTTGGAGACTACCAGGCTTACTCACTACAAACTCTCACACAGAGCAGGCTGGCTTTCTCTGGGCTCTGCACATCCTCTGTGACTAATCTGGGGTCTCTGGCTACAGGACCTATGGGACACTTTATACTTGAGTTGGCTTCACAGACATGAAAGGAAAAGCTCCCCTTTTAAAGCAAAGGGTGAAGGAAAGGAAACGACATGAGCCAGACAGTATGCTAGGGATGAAGTGTGTCTCATGTCACTCCTGGCACCAGGTAGGAGGGTATTTTTCCATTTGTTCCGTGTGTCCTTTGTTCCTTTTAATCTTTCACTGCCCTCTGTATTTTTGCTGCTGTTTTTATTTTGAGACAGGTTGTCTTGTATCCCAGGCTGGCCTCAAACTTTCTATGTAGCTGAGGATGACCTGGAGCTCCTGATCCTCCTGACTCTACCTCCTGAGCGCTGGGATTAAAGGCATATACCACAAACCCAGTATCTGCAGTGCTGGAGTTTTAGTCCAAGGCTTTGGGCATGCTAGGAAACATTCTACCCACTGAGTTACATCCCCAGCTCTGGATGGTTTCTTAATTTTCTATCTTATCTCAACTATTGACTTATTAGCAATACTTACTTATTATGTCTCCTATACTTTTTTGTTGTTGTTGTTGTTTGTTTTGTTTTTTAATAGGGTCTCATGCAGCCCAGAATAGCCTGAAACTCTAGATGCTGCTGAGGCAGGTCTTGAACTCCTTCCTCCACTACATTAAGCTTACTTGCTTTAGTTTTTACATTGTTCATGGTTGCTCTAGGGTTTAACACATACTACAATCTGCCTAACTAGAATAAGGGTAGGTATTATAACTTTAATGTACAGGTGAGGAAAACAGATTTAGAGTAGTTAGATAACATGTCATAGCTTAGAAATGGCAGATCCATCCCCTTATCTCTGTCTCCAAAAATCTGAGTTTTCTATTTTATCATCATAAATTGCAAACTGATTTTATTTTAGCCGTGCCTTAACTCATATTGCTGGGGACTCAGGGCCAGCTTGATTTCTATGTCAAAAACTCCCAAATTGCATTTCAAGGGCTGTGTCCAGTGAGACATTAGCATTTCATGGTCAAAGAAGGTCTTCATGGTTAGATAAGTTAGAGAAGTTATATGTAAGTGTTCTAAAGAGTTCGTTTTATTACAGGACCTCACAGAGCTTTCACACTGAAATGGATTATGAAATGTAAGAAAGGTGATGGTCCTGTTAAATGGATTTGATGCAAGAACCATTATTTCTAGAGTATCCTCTGAACTAGTGCTTCTTTAAATTCACTTTGGGAATGATGCTTTCAGGGAAAGGCAGTGTTTCTTGTCGCCCCAACTAGCTTTCTCGAGGAAGACTGAGATCGATAGGGTAGGTCCCACCCTGTGAGTGTGCCTCAATCCTCACCTGTCATGAAGCACTTGATATCCTGAGAGTTGCTGATTGGGTTGTTGTTTTTAAACATGTAGAGATTAAAAGGCATGATGTTATTGCTGCTCAGGTGCTTCCAGAGCTCATGGTCTGGGCTTGTCCAGCGTCCAGCCAGCACATCATAATCCCGTCGGCCCATGTGGACCAGTTTGGTGAGTGGATCATAGAGGCCACCATGGTAGCCAATGATGATCTGGAAGCTGGGGTTGGTGTCCATGTAGATCTCCCCATAGGCTGTGTACAGGATTTGCTTGATCATCAAGCCGGTTCCACTGAAGACAGCAAGAGGCGTCCCGATGTTGTCACAAGCTATGTAAAACTCGTCCCCACTGCTCAGCTCCATGGCAAAGAGGTGTCCTTGCAGGTCATAGTAGAGGGAAGTGATCTCAGAGCTAGAGTGGTTGTAGAGGTGGGTGACCTTTGTAGGATTGGTCAGGTCTGCATAAAAGAATTGTAGGTGGTGGCTGTGGCTGCTCTTGCTGGATACCCGCCGCCCCAGGCCATCGTAGCGATACCTGACACTCCAACCGCCAGCCCGGTTGTAGGCCTTGATGAGCAGGCCAGCTGAATTGTACTCGAAGACATCCCCGCCCCGCTGCCTCAGGAAGCCATCCTCATCCATCTTGTATTGCACATCACCCAGCCTTGTGATTCGGTCCCGGAGGTCGTATCGGAGAGGGGTGAGCCGTGCACTGTTCCCAGGGCTCAGCAAGTGTAGATTCCCATTGAGGTCATAGCTGTAGCGCCAGAGTGGCTTGTCATTAATGGAGACTGTCTGCAGCTGGCCATCAGCATCATACTCATAGGAGTAGCGGGTGGTGTTGGCATAGGGTCCCACCTTCAGCTCCTTCTTCACTACCCGCCCCATGTTATCATACTGGACGGTCATCCAGTACATGAGTGAGCGGAAAATCTCATACTGCACTTCCTTCATCCTGCCATATGCATCAAAGTGCTTGGTGTGGGTCATGACGGCTGTTGTAATGATCTGGTTGATGTCATAGTAGATGACACCAAACTTCCCAAACTGTTCTGTCTTTCCTGATACATCATCATAGCGATAGAGATCGATAGGCAGCGGGGTCTCGTTGATCACAGCCTGCATGCTAGTCACCCGGAAACTGTTGTCATAGTTGTAATCAAAACGGGCATTGACCATGCCTTCCTCTGTGAAGCGGAAGATCTGCCGGTCAATCAGGGGCCCAATCTGACGGTAGCGGATGGTGCAGGTAAAGCCCTCGTTCTGTAGGTTGATGGTCTTTAGCATTCCAGCTGTTTCATCATAGGTGAAGCTTACCTTGGTGGTGTCATACAGTGTCTCAGCCAATTTTGACAACTTGCCATATTTGTGAATCACCCTGCGACCAGTGCCCAAGTAGAAGGTGTGCAACAATTGTCCATCCTCAGTGAAGTCCTGTATGACTGAGGCATTGCCTTCTGGAGGTTGGTAGATGTTCCGGTAGTAGCCCACGGAGCGGATGGTCTCCAGAGTCTGCCGGGCCACATTGGGCATGGTCACGGAAGAGAGGCGGTCATTCTTGTCAAACTCAAAGATGTACTGCCTCTGGCTGTGGAGGAGCAGCACCATGGACTGGAGGGAGAAGAAAATTATAGATGAGGAAGACGGAAGGAGGAAGGATGGCCCAAGTGCCCACAACTTAAGGAAAGACATGGAGGTTTGAGGAAGTGGTTCTCTTGCATCATATCCAAATAGAACATTCTAACCTGTGTGCCCACGAATGTTGCAGGCAGGTTACAGAGGGGCTGTGAGGGACTTTCTTTCAGCTCTTGACCTTGCAGGGCTGGGCCCTAGAACACGAAGGTCATTTGATTTCATCTTGTGAGCACTCTGTGTGTCTGTCCCTTTGTGTGGCGTGGACCAAATCATCGCTTCTCTATGTGATGGGGTGTGAGGTTTGGATGCTCTGGCCTAAAATACTCGTAACAACCTTCCTACTGCCTTTCCTGATGGAGACTTCTGAACTCAATCTTCCTACTCAAGCAAGAAGGAACTCTCTAAAACACATCCCAATGGTCTTAAAATAAAGCCTGACCTTTTCCTGCTAAATAGTGTCTGTGGCCTTCTTCTGCCTACAGTGTAAGGACCATGTTTGAGAAGGACACATTTTTTTCCTCAATCTTTTATGTAGTAGCATTTAAAGGGCCCACCCTGAAGTGAGGCAGGCCATAATGGGAATGGGGAACCTTGTTTCCACTGACGGACTCACTGTACAGCACTGGGAAACTCTCCTCCCCTCTCCCCACCCCAGGCTTTTCAGTACAAGGGATGACTTCTAAGGTCTGTCTTGTAGCACCAAAATAGAAAATTGTTCTCAGAGAAGCTCTCTAGCAGAGTCAGGGGATGCTTACCACAGAGCAGGCAGAGCCTAGGCCTGGACAGATGGCCAGGATGGGAAATGAAGTGAGGATCTGGATCCAGAACTGGGGCATAAAGTACAAACTCTTTCTTACGAAGTTAGCAGATAACAGGCCTAGGTGCCTCTAGCTATCAGAGTGACGATTTTCTCCTGTGGGACCACTTTTGAATTTAGGTCATTTAAAAAATTATCCTAATTTGTTTATTCCATGATAGGTCATCTTTGATTCTAATTTCTGGGTGAAATGACTCCTGACCCAAAGCAGAAGGTACTTGCTAGGGCCACATCCAGTACTAGCAGGATTAAGCAGCTCTGCCTCAGATATGACTCCCAGGTTCTCTATGGCAGGGTCAGATCCCTGTCCTTGGTCAGTACCTTCATTCTTGCTTTGTAATCCAACTAGGACTGAGCTGACTCAGCTCTGCTCAGTCAGTAAGACATTCATGTTTTCCTGTCCTGGGACCTCTATTCACCACACTATCCCCATAAATCCACCCAGATGCCTCCTGGGATCCTTGACCTTGGTGGAAAACTTTCTTGAATGTCTCCTTTTTGGAAAATAAACATCTCTCTTTTTGAAAACTATAAGGGTCAGATTTATCCCACTGAGGTCAGCAGGCAAGGCCAGGCCATGGCAAGTCACGATGAAAGCTGGTTTAGTGCTGCATGCCTCCAGCTGTTCAGGAGGCTGAGGTAGGAGGATCAGTTGAGTCTAGGAGTTCAAGTCACCCTGGGTAGGTTGGTGAAACCCATCTAAAAAAAATACAACCACCTTTGTTAAACTGAGGCCAGCCTGGTCCACATAGGCCAGCTGGGACTACTAGGGAGACCCTGTCTCAAAAAAAAAAAGAAAAAAAAATATATCCACAATAATCATCATCCTCTTATATGCTAAGGTCACTGATTTGGGGAGGAAGACACTTGCCTTCTCTAAGTATGTGTAACTCCATGTCTTCCCGTCTGCAAAGATCCGGGATGCAATGCGACCTTCCTGGTCATATTCCATTCTCTCGGACATGATGCCCCTTTGGATGCCAGCAATGTGGCCCCCGGGGGAGTAGGTCACATTGACACCATTCAACCTGCTGCTTGGCGACCAGAGGCTGGGTCTCCCTGCCTGGTCATATAGGATCCGAAGGGTGAACTTGCGGTGGTCATCATAGATCTTCTCTGTGCGCGTTACACGGTCAAAGTCCAGAGACAAGAGGTTTCGGTTGTGAACCTGGGAAAGGGATAGGAAAGAGAGAGAAAATGGATTTGGACATCTAGAACTTGACTCTGATGACCAACGCAGCTCTTAACTGTGCTGAGGAGCTCCCGAGAATAGACTAGAAGACCGCGTAGGTTGTGGTCAACCTAAGTGGGCCGGACTTCTCACTCTGCCACCTGTCAGCTTTATGAAGTTTCCTTATCTGTAAAATTGGAACAATGATGCCAACTTCACAGGCCTTTTGTGAGAATAAAGACAATGCAGGTGATGGGCAAATTGTAGCTGTGACTGAAGAAGATAGTTTTATAATGTGATTTTCTTTTTCCCAATGTGGACACACTTTTTAAAAGGCAGATCTCTCTTGGCTCCCTCCTAGAAACAGAGTTACCAAGTGGGTCCAGAACATTAACACATGACCCATCTGCTCTGAGCCAGACACCGGGCTGTGTTGGCCACTGAGGAAACCAAGCAGGAAAGTGCAGGTCTGTTGTTTTTCATGATCGAATGTGAACTTTACTCTCACTAGGGCAGTCGACATGCAGTTTCTCTGAGCAAGTCTCAGCTTTCTCAGAGCTCTGGACTTTCCAGTTTTTGAGTTTCTCCTACCTTTGTCCACAGTCAGGGATTTCTGGATCACCTGCCAGCTCCTGAGATATCTCTTCTTGTTCTTCCTCAGAGGTGCTGGAAGGGAGGGGCATTTGTGCCTAGGGTGGCTTCTCTGGCTGTGGGCTGGTTGGGACCATCCTAGATCTACAGCACTTTGTTCCTGGATCACAGCACCCTGTACCATCTCCCTGTAGTCTGTGAGGTCAGTACCAATTCAATTTTCTTCTTGAGTCAGAGATATAGGACCCTACAGAGGTAGCTGCAAGTTAGGGCTGTATATTTATATGTGTGTATGTGTGTGTGTGTGTGTGTGTGTGTGTGTGTGTGTGTGTGTGTGTAGGTTAGAGGTCAACTTCAGGTGGTTTTGTTTTTTTTTGAGAGGATCTCACTATATAGCCCTAGCTGGCCTGGAACTCCCAGTCTGGCCTTGAAAGTCACAGAGATTTCCTACTTCCCTCTGCTTGGATTAAAGACATGTGCCACCACACCTGGAAACTTGAGTTTTTTTGAGACAGGATTTCTCACTGGAATCTTGGGATTGCTGTTTAGGCTGAGCTGTCTGGCCAGTGAGCCCAGAGATCCACCTGTCTCTGCTTCTCCAGTGCTGGGATTATAAGTATGCACTACCATGCATGGTTTTTTAAAAAAATATTTATATTTATTATTTTCATTTTATGTGTATGTGTATATTCCTGCATGTAAGTAAGTGCACCCGTGTCATGCAATGCCCATGGAGGACAGAAGAGGCTGTCAGATCCCCTGGAACTGGAGTTACAGACAGTTGTTAGCTGCCATGTGGGTACTAGGATTCGAACCTGGGTCTTCTGTAAGAACAGTCAGTGTTCTTAACTGTTGAGCCATCTCTCTAGCCCTGCATGGCTTCTTTAAAACATGGGTTCTGGGACTCAAATTCAGGTCCTCAAGCACTTTTCTGTTCAAACTATTTTCCCAGCCCTGTTGCTTCATACTTTATAAAGAAATGTACTTTACAGGCCTCTGGATCTGGTTCCTAGGTACCAGATGCCCCCAAATGCTGGCAGATTCTTCAAGACTAAACTGCTGCTTCCCACTGGAGGTGGGATAGGGGTGCTGACCTTACAGGGCACTGAGGCACCTTTTCAGTCTCTTCCACTTGTCACTGGTTTGATAGGTAGGCAGATGTGAGAAGAAAGCAGATAATTAGGTCACATGATGAAAAAAGGCATGTGTGGCTTGAGAATGTCAAAGGTCCTCTTGGGTTCTGTGTCGTTAAAGAAGGATATGTGGGGGATACATAGGAGTAAGAAGGAATGCTGGGATGTCAACCTTTGTGACCTTGATCTTTGTGACCTTCAGCTTTTTTGTGTGACCTTGGGCAAGTGTCTTCCCTTCTCAGAGTTTCAGTTTCTTCCTCTGTATTCTCCCAGATGAGTAAGGATTAGAGAAACTTAGGCAAATCACCTACTGGATTGCTAGGCACATAGAAGGCACTGGATAAATGGCTGTAATTATCTCCATTAAATGACAGCAAATGATCATGGTCAATCTTAGAGGAAGGAGAGATATGTGTGTCTTCTCCAACTCTCCTCACACAAACTCCAAGGCTTTGAAAATAAGGATTTATAATGATGATGCTGAGATGGCTTTAGCTGTGAGTGGCCTGGTTATAATAAGCTTGCCTTCCCTGGGGTAATCAAACACAATTGCAGAAGCAAAAACAGTGTGGCAGACAATTCCCGTGAAAAATCAGAGGCGTTGGAGGCTCAAGCTGTGTTCTTTGCAGAGAGGGCACATGAAGAAGGGGGCTGCACTACCAACAACGGCAGGAGTCTTTTTAAAGCACCTTTTGGAAGGTCTGCCTGCATCCCCAGGGTGGTGTCACCTAGACAGCCACCCCCTACCCCCTGGAGAACCCTAGTGTAGAAGTGGGGGACTGTACCCTTTGTGGCAAAATTAATAAAATTAAGCAGTTCACTGGGGGAACCACCTCGTGTTTCCTGTGCTCAGCGGTGGCGGCAATGAGATGATTTTACATCTTTCTTTATTAAAAAAAGTTCCCAGCTATATAAAAAATGAGCTCTATTATGGGGGAGGCACACCCGACTAACATTCTCATTCCACATGCTGCCACTGTGGGGGAGGAAGCAGAGATGTGACCACCCGACTAGAGCATCGTCTATCTAGGGCTGGGAGAGGGACCAATTAAAGCCTGGGAAACTTCTGGTCCAGTTCACACGGTGGAGAGAAACTCCTAATAGCACTAATCGCTGCCCTTTACTGAGCACCTGGGATCTGCAGTTCTGGGTGAGGTGCTTTGAATACATCATTCTGCATCTACAGAGGAAGCTCAGGCTCAGAGGAGTTGCTCAAGGCTGTACACGTAGCCCAGTGGGAATCCAACCTAGGTCAAACTTCCCATTTGGCACACTGCTCAGATGTATGGGAAGGGCTCTTTGAGAATGCAGATGGGGGCTTAGTGAGGCCACAGATGGTGGCAGGCCATGGAGAACAAAGACAGCTAGGCCTTCCGTGGGAACTAGTAGGAACCGGTTTCCACATTAGTTACAGAGTTCTTGGCTGTGGAAGTATAAGGAAAGTCTGATTTTTTGGACTGTAGTTTTTGCTATTGAATAAGTCACTTAACATCTATGTTTCTTCTGTGGATCTATTTCCTAGGGTTTATGTGCCTCTGGAATAGTCATGTACTGTCTCTAGAACTTGGTTGCCCATGTGTAAGATAGGAGCTTGGGTGAACTTTCTTGGTTGCAGGGCAGGGGATCAAGAGTCCTAAGAATTGCTGTTAGGGCACTTCTGTGGTTTTCAGAAATGATTCATTTCAGTTCAGCAGCTGCCTACTGAGTACCTGTGGTCTGCGAGGCGCTGGGCAGAAAGCCAGGCCTAGGTTACCAGCTTGCCCTTTGCCCCCTTTGCTGGCCCCTGGCTTTCTGCTTTGTTTGTAGTGCTGGGCCCTCTGCTAAGTAAGTACTCTACCACTGAGCTCCAGACCTAGCTCCCTTTAACCCCTTGCTTTCTGAAACTGGAGGGGAAGTCTGCTGGGCAGTGAGCCCTGGGCTGAGGCCTCACTCTACAGACACACGGAAGGAGGGGAACAGACAAGGCCATGTTCAGAGCTTCATATCCTGAAAAGTGCCCCAAAAGGCTAGACCTCAAGGCCACTTCTCCTTCAAACAGCATCAGCTATGGTAAGGTCTTCATGATTGTGTGTGTGTGTGTGTGTGTGTGTGTGTGTGTTTGTATGTAGCTGGGGGTGGGGTAGAGAATTGAAACAGGGTCCTTGCTATAAAATCCAGAATGGCCTTGGCTTGTAATCGTCCTGTCTCAGCCTCTGAGTGTTATGATTACAAGTATGTACTATCACACTTGATGATTTTGATAATCTAGGAAAGGTCATTTTACTTGGAAAGAGTGAAGAATGTGGCTTAGTTTCCAAGTAGTTAAAATGAACTTGGGGATGTATTAGCAATGGTAAGTACCACATGACATCAATAGCAGCCATTACTGATCTCTGTTATGTGTCAAGCTCTGTATGAGACATTGTATGTCACTTCTAATCCTTGAAGCTACTTGTAAAATTAGTTTTATCTTCAAATGAATGAAACTGAAGCTCTAACATGACTGAAATGACCAAGTTCATTCAGACAATAAAGTCAGCAGGAAATTCAGCTTAGGCCTAACTCCAAAGCCAGCCATGTTTCTACAAGTCAAAATTGAAAGGATATTCAACAACCTCTTGCTACATGTGGCTTATAGCTTTAGCTGAGGAGGCTGAGGTCTCTGAGAAAGGTTCAAGAACAGAACCTGGTTCTCCAAATTCCCTTCATCCTTCCCCCAGAGGCTACTGCTTCTAAGACTCTACTCACCCGCAGCCGGCGCCCGAAGACTGTGACCTGGCCACGAGCCTGCTCCTTGCGCTGCCGCCATTCTACCAGATTGAGGCCATTGTCGATGGGCAGTGTGACATTCCTCTTGCCCACAGTGGGGTTGACAGTGCCAGCTAGCAGGTGTGGCTCAGTCTGCAGTGCCACCTCCATGCCATTGGCCAGTAGCAGCCGCAGGGAGCCATCAGCCCCGATGTAGTAGCTGTTCCGGACTTGGTCTGAGGGAGAGGGGAGCACAGATGCTCAGAAGGATGGGGATGGAGGCTGGGGTGGGGAATCTAAATGTGTTTTCATCTAACTATAGATGAAATACATTATTACTGAAGAAAACTAAGAAATCATATGGAGACCATCCATACAACTAATACTCAAAACCATTGGAAATATTTTGTATATTTGTAGATTTCAGGATATTTCCTAAACACTTATAGATTAAAATAGTCACTATTGAGTTTTTCAATGGTCAATGTATCATATCAATGCCACTGAATATTTTTCATTAAGTACATTTCTTAATGACTCTATAGTCTCCCATTATATGGTAATATAATTAATTGAACTAAGCATCAAGTAGGCATTTAATTTGTTGCAGTTTTTTACAACTACAAATGACATTACCAATACATGTACTTTAAATATTATGCTGCGTGAAAGAAGTTAGACACAAGTGGACACATACTTTTTAGCTCATAAGTGTTTAAAATGTGTTACCTAGTACAACTGTTACAATTGTATGTGCTCAATAAATATTTGCTGGTATGTCCCAGGCTATGTCAAACTGTAAAGATAGAATTTTCCTGGGAAACTCTCACTGAATCCTCCCCACTAGAATGACATCAAATTGGACCTTCTTTCTTTCTCTGACCCATTCCTTCTTTCCATACTTTCTCACTCGCACACATGGATTCTAAAATCTGCTTCCGTGTTGCTATGCATCATTCACTGACAATCTGTATTTTGTTCCCTTTCGAAGAGTACAAAAGCCCGTGTCAATTTATCTCGTAAAGCTTCTCCTTGTTGAATGCACATATGTCCATTACTGTGGACTGTGGATGGACCAGCATGTGGGGAGGTCCATCTCACATGATCCCAGTTAATGCGGGCTGTGACTGCCCAAGGCTGTCTCTCATTAGAAGCTGCTTCTCATTATTCCCCATAGTTCAGACATAAGAGGAAACTGAAAAAGCTTCTTACAAAGACTCTACTGAGATGGCTATGAGGCTGAGAACCCGAACCCGGTACACAAAAGAGATGGGGAGTTTGGCTGTGGTTTCAGCTGGAAAACAGGTGCCATTTCCCCCCTATTCCAGGCATACTTGTCCTCTTTACATTCCAATGTTTCTGGAATTGGAATGTGTCTTTCAGTCTAGGCTTGCATTTTAAACAGTGTGGTTTTATTCCCTTCTACCTGAAAATTTGGGATTAAGTGGTTGTACATTTTAAAATTGAGGAATGTGGCACTTTGGATTTTAAAAAAGTTGTCCTGACATAAAAACTACCCAAAGCAGGTTCAGCAGTAGAAAGTGGGTGGATGAAATAATTTTTAGGAAGGGAAGAAAAGAGGCTGAAGAACATACATCTGAGCAGCCATCTGAGCTCTGCTGTCCTGGTTCAGAGTCCTAGTCAGATGGAAGCTGGTACCTTTTCTTTTGGTAGTAACAATGGGGTGTGCTCAGCCCTTCATTAAAGGTGCTAGGTGAGGAAGAAATTCCTGAGCATGTTTTCTCTTTCTTTAATAACTACTATTGTTTTTTGAGCCTTCTTTCTTTTCTTTTCTTTTTTTTTTTTTTTTTTTTTTTTTTGGTCTTTTTGAGACAGGGTTTCTCTGTAGCCCCAGCTGGCCTGGAATTCACTGTGTAGACCAGGCTGGCCTTGAGCTCACAGAGATCCTCCTGCCTCTGCCTCCCAAGTGCTGGGACTAAAGGTGTGTGCTACTACACCGGCCTCTTTATTTTTTCTTTATGAGAAAGGGTCTCCCTGTAGCCGAAGCTACATGAAATCGCTGTATGGACCAGGCTGGCTTTTATCTCACTGAGTTCTGCCTGTTTCTGCCTCCAGAGTGCTGGGATTAAAGGTGTGTACTACCATACCAGGATCTTTGAGCTTTTTGAAAAACAAACACTATGTTTGGGAATGAAAGTAGTTATATAAATATACAAACTTTGTTTTCTGGAGGTAAATCCAACTGTTTACTAATTAATGTGTAAACCCAACAAGTACTTTCTGAGCAATACTCTGTGCCTGGCCTATGCTGGTGACCTCACAAATGTTGTCTACAGAGATGTCTGAGTATCTCTTTGAGGTAGATCTTATAATGCATCCCCATTTCCCAGACCCCAAAACTCAGAGAAGAGTGATTCCCCCTAGTTCATACAGGTGGGAACTCGCACAGCGGGCACAGATGCTCCACATCCACCCAGGGACAGCTCCATACTACTCAACACTACTTCAACTTGCTTTCTTTTCCTGAAGAAGAAACCCAAGGGCTGTGGTGAGTGATGTGGTGGCAGAGACAGAGCTAGAACTAGGCCCTTGGACTCCCAGCTCAAGGTTCCTTTTACTACTAGATGTCAAGGCTTTGGGAGCGTATAAAGCCATTGGAAGAAGGGGGAAGGTCAGGCAGGGCTTTCCTAAGTGCTGCCTTCATTCCTTTTATGTTTATTAAACCCTGGGCCACCACATCCCATGAGAACAGCCGAGGAGGGGATTTACAGCAAGATTCCCTCAATAGGATTTACCTGAAGCTAAGGCCAACCCATATCTGGGATGATTTGATGTCTGCAAGGAAGGGTCTTTTTTCCCTGGAGTCCTAGCTGAGGCTTTCCTGGGTTTCTGGAAGGACTTCTCCTTGATCAAATCCCTTCCACAATTAGATGTAATTACTCTTGTCCTTTGTCTCCCCTGCACCAGCACAAGAGGAAGTCTTTTAATCTGGGAGCCATTAGAACAGCACAGTAGCGAAGTCACCTGGATTAGCAGCTAATGGATTCTCTCCCCTTTGTTCTGATGATAATGGGATGGGACAATGAAAAATTACCCGTAGCTTCTGGGAGACAATTTACCTCTGGCTGGTGTGTTTTGCAAATGAGGTGGCAGTACTGAGAGAAATCTGGCTGGATGCTTTCCTGATCTTGGGCAGCCGCTGCAGTAGTTTACTTCCTGTGTCATCTTCCTCCAAACGGGTCTTCAGCCCACGTCACAAAGTCCCCAGACCCAGCCTGGCTTACCTTGCAGCAGAGTGTAGAAAGCACCTGAGGCAGACAGGTTGGTGGTTATGGTGACATCATCCTTGCTGGACGTCTCCACCTGCACGTGCACTGAGCTGTCTGTGTCACTTCGGAAACTGCTCACCTGGCCGGTTGGGAAGGTCACATTTGTCAGACGGCCAAAGCTGTCATACCTGGAAACCAGGGGGTGACACTTAGTAACAGAACTACGATGGGGCGGAGGATAGCTGGGATTAGGCACAGTCTACCTTAGGCTGTGGTCTTGTATGCACTGGTTTTCTTTCTTGTCAGATCCATCCCCCAGTCTCCCACTTCTCTCTCATGCTTGGCATAGTTTTCTGGATATGACTCCGTCTACTGATATCCAGCAGGAATATTAGTCACATCTCTGAATCCTCTTTTCCTAGCCCATTCAGTAGAGAGGATACCCTTGCTGACCCACAGCCCAAGCTTACTGTGAGAAGCATGGGAAAGTGCCCTGCTTTCTTCCAGAATGCATCCCCATATTGGACTGCCAATGTACAAATTGGTTCCCACTTGGGACTGTGAGGGCTGCATGTCAGCGTAGTTCTGTGGACTCAGAGCACCAGGCTGAGAGTCTGGACTCATACCACCTGGATGCTGCCATCTGCCACCACTGTGACCCAGGGGTGCTGGCTCTCAATTCATCCTTGCTTCAGCATGTTTGTGACTGGCATTGAGAAGACAGGCAGGACGTGGACAAAGACATGTCTGAACAAATAAATGGATGCAGGAGTAGGCACAGAGAGAGGGGAGAGCACAGTTCATTCTCACATTGTCTGTAGGACTTGATGGAGCTGGATGCACAGTAGGTGCACGATAAACATCTGCTAAGTACACAAATCTAGAAAGAACTGCTCTCTTGCTAACTGATACTTTAGCAATCTCCCTAGGCATCTCCCCAGAGTTTTAGTCTCCAGAAAGAGGCTTTGTATCAAGGCAGACAATTGTAATTATTATTGAAGGTAGCTTGTAATGCATAATTAAATCGAGCCAGAGGAAAATACAATGAAAAGGCCCTATGCCTTCAAGATCTGGTTTTCATTTTATATGCAACGGTCAAAAACCAGTAATTTCCACTCCTCATATTTTCCATTAGAAGGACTGAATGTCTTAATTAAATGAACATCAAATAAAACAGCCAATTTATAAAATTTTTTTCTCCTAGTCATTCATTTCGATGCCTTCCAGAGCTTGAGAAATGCTCTCCACCCCCACCAAGTCTCTTGATCAATACCTGTGATTATCCCATCAGAACACAGCTCTTTCTCACTCTGGGGAGAGGACTGGATCCTCCTATCCTCTGAGACCTCAGCCCTGTGGCTGCTTCTACAGAATGCTTCTTGCTTTGCACAGACCTGCTGAGAGCTGGTGCAGTGTGGGATCAGAAAGGGCAGATCGCTGAACAATCTAGGTTCCAAGTGGCTGCCTCAAGTCCCAGTTCTATGCTTGGGCGATGCTGTCTTGGTTCTAATTGTCATGGCTTTTTGTCTGTTTTGCTTTGCTTGAGACCTAGGCTGGCCTTGAATCCACTATACAGCTGAGGATGACACTGGACCCCTAATCTCCCTGCCTCTGCTTCTTGAGTGCTAGGATTACAGGTGTATGTTACCAAGTCTGGCTTAACTGTGATGCTTTTAATTACAGAAGACCACCCAAAACAGGCATGTTTTCTTCCAGACCAATGGAAGGGTTGGCTGATACGGAAAGGTCTTTGGAGCCACATGGTCTGGGCTTATAAAGTAATGGCTAGATCCTTGATGGCAACATGCTCTGCTTTCCTCCTGACCTTCAAGCCTCACTACAATCAGTAGTAATGCAGGCAGGTTGCATAGCATAAACCTTGACAGCTCTGCTTCCTCCCCATAAATAAATACTAACACCCATCTCACAGAGACACAGTGAAGACCAGAAGAGGTGATGTATTTCCTGTGGGTGTAAACGTCTCACTAGGGCCTTCAGGACTCCCAGGGGATTGTCCTCAATATAATGCCAAGTCCTAGAGGCAGGAATAAGTGCTAGGCATTTAGCAATTGCTTATTACTGTGGATGAGGGTTGGTTGCATGACCTGACTGACTCCTTCCTGCTCTCCTTCCTGACTTTCCACTGAAACTTGCTCCTCTGAACTTCCTTTAATTCACTCTACCTGTTTTTGTCCTAAACATGCCAAGCAAGCCCAGGCCGTACTGGGGTGCTGGCCCCTTTGTAGGGAACACTCTTCCCTTCAGTGCTGGTACAGTTAGTTCCTGTTGTTATCTGTGTTTCATTTCAGATACCCTAACCCCAGTGAGGGCTTCCCTGACCACTGTTTCTGAAATAGATAGCACCCCCCATCTCTACCACATTATCCTCCTGTATTCTCTTCAGTATGTTTACTAGCCTCTCTTTTCATACTAGAATATTATTGCCATGAGGACAGGGACCCTGTCAGTATTCTCAATGCCTAGCGGAGTACTCAGCACATAGAAAGTACTGGGTAATATGTATTGGCTGAATGAATAAATGCATAAGTAAATATTGGTAATTTTTTGTTGATTTTTCAAGAGGTGATTGAGAGCAATCATCTATTTTATATCCTTTATCCTATAGGAGGAAAGGAGAGCTCACTAATATTCAGAGTACCTTTTAGGTATCAAGCATCATGTTCATAAGCATCTTTTGGGGTAGGAATTATTATTGTCATTTTGCAAATGGTGATAATAGAAGGCAGAGAGGTTAACCGACTTGCCTAAAATGACATAGCTCACAGAATACAGATTCAAAATCAGGTCTGTCCGACCTTAAAGACTGTATTCTTCTATCAAACTTTCCATAAAAATGATGCTGTTTCAAATCAAAACCTTTGTGTTCATCCCTTTGTTAAAGGGAAGATGTCCTGTTTGGAAGTCTCAAGTGGGTCAAGAAGATTGACAGGTTTCTCTTCAAGATGCTCTCCCTTTCTCCTGTTGCGGCCCACTATACAGCAAAGCCAGGCTCCTGTTGGGAGGAGGTGGTAGAGAAGGCCAGCAGATTGGCTTTCCATTATTTCCTTCCACTGACTTTCCTTCACTCCAGTTTTCCAAAGCATCTTTGCGGCATAGTGAAAGAAAACACATAAAAGATTCATAGAGCTGCTGTGAACTTGGCTTTCAGAAGAAGACCGCTAAAGGGTATCTTCACACACTGCAAGGCTTTCTTCTTCACACTTCATCCTTCATCGCTGGCCACTTGCTAAGTGCAGCAAATGAGGAAAATGCCAAACTGCCTCTGTGATACTCAACTTTTGCTGATCTTGACTCTTTGGTTGGATAATAAAGATGTGATTTTTGTGACTTGCATCTTAATTGTTCTAAATACCACTGTCACCAGCAAGGGACCTGGTCACTGTTGTGAATAATTAAGAGTTCAAAGTCAGGCATACCAGTAGTTCCCTTGGCCCTGGATCACTGTAATGGCATCACATCACTCACGAGATATTGAAAAGCATAGTCAGAGCCAGGGTGCTTTCTGGCTTAAAAAATTATTTATGGGGCTGGAAAGATGGCTCAGTGGTTAAGAACACTGGTTGTTCTTGCAGAAGACTTGGGTTCGAATCCCAGCACCCACATGGCAGCTAACAACTGTCTGTAACTCCAGTTCCAAGGGATCCAACAGTCTCTTCTGTCCTCTGCAGGCATTGCACAACACTGGTGCACTTACCTAAATGCAGGCAATACACGCATACACATAAAATAAAAATAATAAATAAAATATTTTAAAAAATGATTTAATTTAATTTTATATGTATGACTGTTTTGCCTACATGTATGTAATGCAATGCAATGCACATGGAGGCCAGAAGGTGTTGGATCCTCTGGAACTGGAGTTATGGACAGTTGTTAGGTACCATGTGGGTGCCGGGAACTGAACTGAGCAGCCTGTGTTCTTAACTGTTCAGCCATCTCTCCAGTCCCTCTACTTTCTGGCTTTTGCAGTCAAAACTTGTACTCACTATTTCCTGTAAGATTAAATTTCAACAACAAATTCTAGTCTTCAGGATTACCAAAATCTGTATGATTTACAAGGCTTAGTGCTCACTGATTTTGTCCTAAGGCTGTATACCTTGGGGGTGGGAAGGGCTAAGGATTCAAGAATCCTCGTCCTTTCCTTTACATAGAAGATGTCACAGAGCCAGTCAGTGTCCATGTTGGGTGGTCAGTTCCCTCCTAGAGCTATTCTTTGCTATTCTCTATGCTCCGAGAGTCTGGTAGCTGCAGATGACAACACTGGGCATCTCTGCTGGTTTGCTTCCCTTGGGTTAAGCCAGTGGTGGGCACTGGCAAGAGATGGAGATAAGAACACATTTTCCTTCCCTTTGTCCCTCAGTCCTCCCACAGCTGCATTAACCCATGCATACAGCTTCTCTGAGGGAGTTCCCCTCCCTGTGGCTACAGATCCACTGGCTTTCAGTGATGGTGTCCTATGCCTCCTTTAGCCTGCGTGTTAATGGCTGTTCATTCTCTGTGGATTTCAGCACCCTTTTGTGATCCCTTTATCCCTTGCCTATCCCTTCAGAATGCCTTGTTGGAAGGACATTTTTGGTGGCATAGCAGTGCACACTTTTTTTGTTTTTGCTTTTCTTTTTGCATTTCTGTCTTCTAGTTTGTATGGTTTCTGATAGGAAATTTGCTCTAATTCTTTGTTCTTCTTATAAAATGCCCACCCCCTTTTGGGAGGAGGCTGCTTTTGGCAAATTCTGTTTTTGTATTCACCATTTTGCATGATATGCTTAGAAGCTTGTGCATGTGTATATGCACCTGTGCAGGTGTATTCTCGTTTTTTTCTGAGCATTGCAGCTGTGGTCCATTATTAATTATGAATAATCTTTGGCCATCATTTGTTCAAGTATTTCTTCTATCTGCCTGTTTTCCTCTCTTTTAGAATTCTAGTTACACGTACATTAGACCATTTGATATTATCCCATAGCACTTGAGTGTCCTGCTCTGTGGGTTTAGTTTTTTCCTTCTTTGTGTTTTAGTTTGGGTAATTTCTATTGACCTGGCTCCTTTCTTTAGCTGTGTCATGCTGTCGTCAAGAGCAGTGAGCCCATCAAAGGCATTCTTCATCAAGATAACCGTGCTCTCAATTCTAGAATTTCCATTTGATTCTTTCTTCCACATCTCTGCTGAAATTATCTATCCCATCTTGTACATTGTTCACCTTTTCCATTAGAGCTGTTAATATAATTATAGTTATTTAAAATTCCCTGAAAGCTAGTTTCACCAGCTGTGAGTGTTTCAACCCATATCTGAATGGAGGTCTGATGACTGCTTTTTTGCTTTTCTTGCTCTTTTGCATGGTCAGTTTAAAAATGTGACACCCTGTATAGCTCAGTAGAGGGTGAGGTGACATGAGTTTCCTCTTGTGAGGTCCTTAGTGAGGGTGTATTAAGTAATGGCATTAGCATTTAGGCCAGCTTTAATTCGCTGTTTCTTGGTTAACCTTAGTGCATCACAGGAGTTAAGTTCCTCTAGCAATAACTTGATTAAGAAACTGGTTTGTCAGAGCTGTTATTTTTTTCTTTGCCTCGAGGCCACCCCAGCCTTAGTTTTAGGTTTGCCCTTTGTACTGTGTCTCAGAAACAGTTTCCTTCCATGCGTTAGCTCCTTTCTTACCCCTTTCTCCTTAGTTTTCGGCCTCCCACATTTGCCTTAAGCTTTTTAGGCAATTGTGGTGTGGGGGAAGCGTTCTCTATGGTCCTGACAGAGACTCAGCTGGGGACAAACATGAGTCCCTGAGCACCAGGGCTGTGGTCTCCTCGGTGTTCCTGATGCTTCTTTGGTAGGCATTCTGGGCTCATTACCTATTCCTGTTCCTTCTCAGCAGAAGTTAGTATTTTCTCCTCCCTTTCTTTTCTCATTGAGCTGAATGGATTTTCACCAGTGTCTGAGGAGGATGCCCAATTGCCCTTCTCTTTTGCTCCTTAGGGGAAACAGAGTGGCAAGGATGTGGGTAGAGCAGGCAGGTATGTGTTTTCTCTTAGCAGATGCCGTATCCTTCTACCAGGTCTATGATGAGAGACACTTCCTTACATCCTTCTCCACTCTTTTTATAATGGAGAAATCCCTATTGGGATTTGTGGGAAAAACCATTAAGAGGACATGGACTCCCCCAATTTCTGCAGCCTCTCAGTCTTTCATAAGTACACGGACTGTGCTAGCTGAACTCCTCTTTCTGGAGGCTGGCTGTGTCCATCCAGGTAATCTGGAGCTTTAAATGTGGTCCTTGTCTGCAGGTGGAGTTCCCTCCTTGGTTTTGGGCCAATTGCTTGTCTCGTGACCTCAGAGAAGGAGTTCAAGGAGAACTCAGGAATTTGTCTCTCATCTGACTTCTTTTCATTGTAAAGTTGGGAATCACGCTCTTTTTAGTTCTCAATCTCTCAAGCAAACACTGGAAGCCAAGTCTTATTATTTGAACTATGTGAACTGAACTCTATATCCTGCCAGGATCATGTAGGAGCTGGGATTTGAATCTAGCACTCTCACAACAACAGTTTTTCCTTTTTAAAATCCCTTCCCTCCCAAATCTACATTTCATTCACAAAATATTTCCCGAGCACCTGTGTACTGGCAAGCCCTAAACTTGAAAAAGAAATAAATTTGAAAACTAGTAAGGGTCTCAGTTTTTTTAAAAAAAGAGTACACCCATGTCATGCAGTGCTGCGGAGGTCAGAAGAGGGCGTCGGATTCCCCTGGAACTGGAGTTAAGGATGGTCCGTAGCTGCCATGTGGGTGCTGGGACTTGAACCCGGGTCCTCTGTAAGAGCAGTCAGTGCTCTTAACTGCTGGGCCATCTCTCCAGCCCCGGGTCTCCCAGTTTTTAATGTGAGCATAATTATAAGGAAGCACTGCAAGGCACTATGGGAGGTTAGAGCCACGTCCCCCTGTGGAACTTAGGAACTTGTTCCTCATTCCCACCCAGCAAGCCAATTTTGGTACTAGCTTTATTCTATCTGGCTTCTTCCTTCCCTCCTCCCTCCCTTCCCTTTGTCCCTCCTTCCTTCTCCCCTCTCTCTCCTTATTTTTCTTTTTGAGATGGTCTTACTACACAGTCCAGGTTGGCTTGGTACTTACTATGTAGCCCAGGCTGGCTTCAAACTTATGATCCTCCTGCCTCAGCCTCATGAATACAGAGATTACAGGTATGTATCACTATGCTTGGCTTTATCAAGCCATTTTCAGGGGTACAAAATGCAGTGTGACCTGGAGCTGAGTCTGAAAGTGACTGTACCATCTCCATGGCACCAAAGGCTATACTGCAGTCTCCTAGGAGGGTTTTAGCAGCAGACCTGAGGGCTAAGGGAAGGACAGTCACCTGGAATCTCTACAACTGTGGATTCTCTGAGACAAGTTTCTCTCAAGTATATGCTGTTTATACCAGATGTATTATTTAATCTGTTAAAAGATTGATAAGACCAGCTTAAAACTTGTTTCAGTAACAGCCCATGCCACAGGTGAACCTGGATTGTTTTTTGTTGTTCTTGTTTGTTTGTTTTAAACACTAGAACATTGGGTTTGAATCCACTAAGCTGCCTCATGATGCTAAAGGGAGAAACTTTACTTCAGCAAAAGGTTCATTGGTAAAACTCCATGCAAATCTTTGTTAAGGAATTCTGTAATAATAAACAATATCATACCCTTATTTTATTTTCCCCAGAGGGAAGAATAGAGACCCAGGGGAAAAAAAGGAACAGAGATCTAGGGAAAGGAGCCAGAGAAGGGGAGAGAGAGAGAGAGAGAGAGAGAGAGAGAGAGAGAGAGAATATGGGGGGGGTGATGACAGAAACCCAGAAAGAGTTGGACAAAGGTAAAGAGAGACAGAGATAGAAAGAGTCCGAGACCAAGAAATAACACAGAGAGAAAGAGAAACAGAGAGACAGAGACAGAGACCCAGAGAGAGGGAGTGAAGGGATCATGTATGAGAGAAGAGACAGAAACTCAGAAAAAGAGAAAGCAGAAGCCCCAATAAAAAGGATCTAGAGTCCTGGAGAAAAGCAGGACACAGACTCAGAGAGAGGGGACAGAGACTCCTCAGAGAGAAAGGGTATAAAGACCTAGAGAGAAAACCAGTATCTGGTGCAGTTACTCGGTCTCCAATCTGAGCAGGAGCACTTTGCTCGGCCCAATTTGGATACTCTCAGGACCTGACCATTTTCCTGGTTCATACCTTGAACTCTTAGACTTGACTGGATTCTATCCCTCTTGTCTGACTTTTCCACATCTATTATAACTTTTTTTTTCTGTTTCTTTGATTAGTTTTCTTGCAAACTGCTTCTGTAATTACTGACACTGCCACAATATTGTTGGAAATAATAACAACAGCAGCTGTCATTAAACTTCCTATAGTTTGTCTCATTGAAAACTTGAGTTTCAGACTACCCCTAGAAAATCAGTGCCATTTTGGTCTCTTTCATACAGGTAAGTCAGGAAGCACACAGGGCCAGTGTAGCTTGTGTTCTGTCCTATACTCACTGCAAGATTTAAAGCTTAGGATGGACTTCTGAGCCTAGTGTGTTTATAGGTTAAAAAAAATATGGATGCTAATTCCTACTGACTAGGGAGTGATCTACTGTGAGACACTTGCCAACTCATCTCTGCGTCATGTTCAGGGTTCATCTCCACTGGATGCTGTGACTATTAAATGGAGAAGAGCCTGGCACACAGTAGGATTGCAAAAAAAAAAAAAAGTGAGTTTCCTTTCAATGTTAGGGATTTTATTTTCTACCTTTGTGTCAAACAAGGATCAACGTTCCTCCTGAGTTCTGATATTAAAACCTTTTTTTCTTTTTCTTTTTTTGAGACAGGGTCTCCTTGTAGCCCCAGCTGTCCTAGAACTCACTATGTAGACCAGACTGGCCTCAAACTCACAGAGATCTGCCTGCCTCTGCCTCCCAAGTGCTGGGATTAAAGGCGTGTGCCACCACACCCAGCATTAAAACTTTTTTTTAATGCTATTTAAAAATACAGTTGTAGTATACATTGTTAGGGTTTGGAGTTGAGGTCACAAATTGGCCGATGAACTCACAAGTGCAGGTAATGTGCCACATGAGTGGCAAGTTTTCCGCTAACATGCCACTCCGGCCTATGGGTGGAGTTTGACAGCAAACTTTGCTACAAGTACAAAAAAAATTGTAACAGCCTTTTCTTCTTCATGAAACCTCAGCCATGGGAATGGAGGGGTAATATAGCCGGTCAAGTGCTTGCCTTACAGGTAGGAGGACTGAGAGGTCCATCCCCAGAACCAGATCAAAAAGCTGGGCCTGGTAGTGAGCACTTGTAATGGCGACACACACATGTACCCATGCACACACACATACTTATATATTATGCATAATAATAAAAAAATACCCCATCAACTGTGGTTATGATTTTCATTGAGGAAAGAGAGGTAGGTTAGATTTTGGAGATGGTGATAATGAAGGTGGTAGTGATGTGTTAGCATTCAGCTTGAGATGTGAGGGAGTGACCTTGGGAACTAATTTCCTGAGCAGGCTTGCTCTGACAAAGAAATCCCTGTATTGGCTAAATAATGTATAAGAGGTTTCTACCGGGCAATGGGGAAAATTGAATTATTTAGCGTATTTCCATTTCAATGAGTTAATCAAGATAATTGCTGTTTTCCTGGATCTTTGTCTTTTTTTGCAATTAACAAGGCCCTTGTTTGGAGAAAGGAATTTAGCTAGTGAACTTTGTACCTAGGGCTGTGACATTTTTTGGTGTAAGTGATATTTGAAAATCAATTATAGGTCTTCCCTCCTCCCCCTTTGGATTCTATAACTGTGAGAAACTGATGCTTGATCTAGTTTGGGAAAACCTTAGGGTTCAAGGACTCAAGTTCATTAGGGGTTAGCAAACTCAGAAGAAGGTTGGGGAGGGCAGCAGGGCAGAAGTGAAAGAGCTAAAGTTCTAGCCTCAGACAAGCTTGGATTACAATTCCTGTTCAACTGCCCTGTTCTTACTACATTACAACTGGCAAATGAGCCTCTCTCAGCCTCAGTTTCTGTTTCTGCAAAGTGAAAAATATTACCCATCATCCCTACTGCTGTGAGGATTAGCTCAATGACTCAATGATGCAGTTTCTAGCACGTAACTGATGTTCAACAAGACCAGTTCTTTGCCCAGCTCCTGCAGACCTGTCTAATGGTGACACATTCAGCAGGCTCCATTGTCTGGAACACGAAAAGATGCTTAACAAAATCTAAGTAGAAAAAGAAATGTTGCAAGGCCCATTCATTAACATTGCACTTCATATTTCTATACATCTGTGATGAGTATAATTTTACCAGGATTGTTATAAGCTGAACTTCTGCTTCTCTGACCACACCATTTTAAGAAGCCTAACTTAAATAGAGAGGAAGTGGCTACTTGAGGGGGACACTATACTGAAACAGGGACACTACAGCACCACGGTGAGGAGAGGGGCAGCAGATCTATACCTCTTAAGATACAGGAGCTAAACAATAAATGTTTCAAAATCATTTAGTTCATTTAGGGGTGAAGGGCTCTGTTTCCTCATTTCCCCACTTCTGGACATCATTTCTGTAGCATAACACAATATGCAACTGTTATTGCTCCTTATTAATTACCTTGATGCATTAAAAGAAAGGTCATATTATATCTGTATAATGTGTTTGAAAAGGGAGGCATGCAATGTACTTCATAAGAAGTTCATCCAAAATGATTACATTAAAAAAGCTCTGGAACGTCAATTCTATGGTAGATTCATCTAAGCAGAATTGGTTTTTTTGATCACCACATTTCTGATCATATGAACATGTTAGCACTTTACCACATATTTTTGGTCTACATCATGTCCCCTGGTAATCTGCGCAGGTATCCACTATATCCATTTTACAGGTGTTGAAACTGAGGCCTAGAGTAAGTTTATGGGAGAGCTGGGATTGAAGCCTAACTCCTCTTATTCCAAAGCTCATGCCTTCTCTACCATACCATTTCCTTCCTAGGGAAAATCCTTTGGCTATGAGCATGAGGAACATATTGTTGGTAGTGGGTTACATCCTAAATCCTGAATTAAAATGAAATACATCCAAAAAAATTATACTCCATCGATGAATTCATCACCAATCCTACAATGCATCTTACAGAATAGAACCACATCTTGATACTTACTCATAAAATGTTGTCCACCCATTTTCATTGCTTTTGGTTGCCAAGAGGCCAGAGTTGCCATGGTAGGTCATCATAGCCATCTCGTGTCCTTGTGTGGTCAAACTTCTGAGCACACTGTTGGTGCCCATGGTCACCCAGTATACCTGGCCATCTGGGACCACCAGCCAGAGGGGCATCCCAGTAGAGTCTCGGCGGATATTCACCATGTTGCCGTTGTTGTCTGTGATGAGTGTGATGTCGCCGTCTCCTGTGTAGGTGAAGTTGTACAGGTAGTCTCCTGTAGGCAGGCTCTGGGTGTACAGATGCTTGCCACTGGTATCAAAGAGGTACAGCTCCTGGTCAATAGGTGAAGACAGCTCATACATGTTCTGGGTGTTGAGGAAAGGCTTGTTCTTCCTGATAAAGCGAATTCGGATGTTCCCAAGGTCGGCCACATAGAGCTCCCCATCAGCACACACAGCCAGGGAAGATGGGGTATTCAGCTTTGCATCCTTGGCATAACCATCATCTCCAGAGAAACAATCACAGTTGGCATCATTTTTACAGTCACAGCCACTGGGGGCCCCAGCAACCAGTGAGATCTCACCACTTGTGGTGACCTGCCTGATGCGGTTGATCTTTTTTTCATCAGTCTCAGCAATATATAGGACTCCATTGTGTGAAACGGCCAGAGCAGTAGCTGACTCCAGGGTTGCGTGAATGGCCACCTTGCTGAGCAGGAAGTAGTCAATGCCGGGAACCTGGCAGTGCATGGGCCTTCCAGCAACAATGCGTACCTGATGGTTTTCAGAGATTTGCAGAACCACGTTGTTGTCGAGGACATAGAGAGAGTTGTCCATTGGGTTGATGGCTAAGTCTGTGGGCCACTCTAGGCGAACCTGACAATGGAGACATTGACACTCAAAGGATGGCAAAATGCCTACCGCTAGTCACCCCACGATCCCCAATACATGTATCCAAAGAAACTTTACATACAATTTGACCCATCCTTATGTAGCCTGCCATAAAGAAATAGAGCACCAAAACAAAAACAAACAAATAAACAAACAAAACAACACAAGACAGGAGTACCATCCCTTGAGCAGAGGGAAAGCATGTAATAGCTGCCATTGAGGCATCTGATGGTCTCCATCAGCCTGACAGAACCTGAAGAAGGACATGACAACAGCAAAAAGTAGTAGGCTAGCAGGGAAGACTTTGGAGTCAAACAGGCCTGGATTCCGATCCTAGCCTGTCCACTTACAACCTTGGGCAAATTACTTTGCTTCTCCGAGTTTCAATATTCACATTTGTAAGATAGAGGTGATGATCATACATCATGCCTGACCCACAGTAAATCCTCTGATGTAGAAGTGAGAGGGAAAGGCAGATGGAGACTGGGTGCTGCCATAGGAGTTGTTCAGAGAACTTATCATGAACGGCTGACATGACTCGTATATGAAGATGAGTTCCCAAATCTTCCAGTTCACAGATTAACACATGGCTAGGTTCTGGGGATATAAAGGCAAAATAAGTATGCCTCCTGTCTGATGTAGTTCTAGACCAGTATTTCTCAAGACTGTCCTCATATTCACATTATCTATGGAGATTTTAGAAAATACTGATGCTATAGTCCACTCTCCGTCAGGTAACTCAGATCCCTGATGACACTTACAATGGGCATTATTTCAGATAATTTTCTGGGTGAGTTTTTCTGGGGTTAAGAATCATACCTAGATCCTGGCCCTTAAAGGGTGATAATCAGACCATCAGTATGGGCATCTTCTTGGAGATGGTTAGAAACGCAGAATGGCAGGCTTGCCCCAAACCTACTGAATCTGTATCTGCCTCTCTAAGCAGAATCCTCAGGTGGTTTCAGTGCACACTGACATGTATGTAAGAGGCCCTGATGTACATGGGGGTCTCTAGGACCTCACAGAGCAAGTCCTTCTAGAAGGGATTAATGAAACTGGCTGTGGGACTTAGGGGCTCAGAGGTCCAGGGCCTCACAGTGAGCCTTTCTTGAGCTAGACTAGGAAAGTGGCTGGGGGTCATGGTGAGTCTTCAAGTGAGCACATAGGGAACTGCAGCCAGCAGGGTCTGAGGTGAGCAATGTTTTGCTCAAAGGACATGGAGGAGGCCAGGCTGTCAGATGTATCACAGTGGGAAGGGCTGGCATGAGGGAAAGCTCTTTGTGAACTGTGTCCCCAAGAGGCCCGACCACACTGAACATGGTTTGGAAATACTGACAAGTGCTTCCTCCAGCTGCCTTTTCAATCCTACCCAAAGACCCATCATTTCTACATAAAGACCCATCACCTTGATGTTCTTGGGCCTCCTATGAATGCTTGACATTTGGTACAATTAGAGGTGCACTCAAACAAATAGGAGCAATGAAATCAGAAGTTTCTCTTCCAGGAACTTGTTTTTGCATGTTATTGTCCATAGGTGTATTCATCACAGCTGTTATAATAATGGGGTGAACACAGACTCAACTCAGAGCCCTAACAACTGTGAACTGGCTAAATAATTATAGCACATTTTAGTTCACTTATAAATTAGAATACCATGATTTAATGTGATGTTCTAGGAGGATATATAATGACATAGGAAAGTGTTTGCTATAGAACTGTAGGGTTAGTTTGATACCAACTAGCGAAAAATATGCTAATTAGATTATGGACAGAGAGGAGAGGAAAAGCTTGAAGGAAATAGAGAAAAATGTTAACCATCCTGGGATCAAAGGTAATGTTAATAGTTTTTGTGATTTTAATCTTTTAAAACTCTCTACAAATGGACATGTGGTTATTTACCAATATAAAACAAACAATCTAGTAAATTAAATATATAGGTAATGAGGCCTGCCTTCCTCTGTCCCCCTTAGCTCAGAGCTATTCCCAGGATGGGAAAGAATCATCAGTGCTCAGCTCTGTATCCTAAAGCCTTCTGTTCCTCACTCTAGCCTCAGCCTATGTACAGAGCAGGGGAGCTTGCAGACACTCCAGAGCTGCTGCTGGGCCGCTGCGCACACTCCCCAGCGCTCTCTGGGGCATGGTCTTACCAGCTTTTAGCTTCATCAAGAACACAGTTTGTTGTAAAGTGACAGGAGAATTTTCAATTTCCTAAAACCCATTTCTTGTCAACACTGGCCGCTAAATATTTTATGCCCTCTGGTCCTGAGGCACCTTGGGGAACTACTTGCAGAGACCTTTCTGCCTGTCATTATGATGAAAAGATGGTGCCCTGATGAGTGGGGGGTGGGGGGAAGTAGGAGGAGCAAAGAGAGAGCCTGCGGAGGGAAAAGGAGGAAACAAACAGTGAGCATTTCCTACTTGCTGCTTCATGCCACTGTATGCCTGGGAAAGAAGGCCACTGCTCTCAGCAGCTCCTGGCTCTGTCATGCCATGGCTTGATGCTTCTGCACCAGTCCCCATCCCTATAGCTCCCTGTTTGTCCTCTTGTTAGTGACGATCCACCATGGCTTCATTTCCCATCACTAAAAGAAGGGACTAGACCTTATCATTTTTGTAGTTTTCTAGCTCGCATGTTCAAGGAACCTATTATGGAGCGGGCTCCCTTTCCCAGTCATCCTGTGCATTCTGTATCTCCATGAAGGCATTCTGAGCAGACTGTTTTGTCACAGAGTGGTGCAAGTACAAGAATGTATTGTCACATGAATGAATGAATGAATGAATGAATGAATAGCCTACAAATGGCATACAAAGCAGGAGGGATGGGGGTCAAGATACCTCACTTCCTATTTTAGTTCCATAGTTACTTGAGTAAGGGTCAAGTTTCTTAAACACTGAACTTCTTTCCCCATATGTAAAAGAGAGCAGTCAACATTACACACAGAGTTGTGTAAAATGAACCAACCTACAAGAAAGTTCTTTGGAGATTTAAAGAGACCTAGTATTTACATCCTATTACCAGCAGCTGGCTCTGTGCTAGGCAATTATGTTCATGATTTCATTAGAAAGATTTATTTCCACATCCTTGATGGAGCTCAGCACAGGGGTATGTGTTTACAGTTACAGGCTATGTGTATGCATTTCCTTTTGTCCAGCCTCAGTTTCCATATCTCTTGTGTCTCCCCCAGGGGACTACAATGACAGCTAAATAAGAAAAGCTGTACTAAACTATGATTTCATTTCTAACAGAGCACCTGGCACACTGCAAGGTCTCATTTTGGCTCCCAAGTATAGAGTGGTGACCCTACCTGCCCAGCTGAGAACCAATCTTCAGTTCCTACCAGACTGCATCTGGAGTCTCTTTAGGGGCCTGGTTTTTGTCTTTTCCCTAGGGAGCTAGTCCAAGTTCCATGCTTACCCGCTTTGCATGCCTGTCTCCTAGCTGTGTTCTCTCTGGCTTTCCTCCCTGATTCCCACAGGAAAGCCAAGTAGCTGAGTGTTGGTAACAGAGGGAGCTCTGAGAACAAAGCCAGCACCCCATCTTGTGTGTGTATGTAAAAATATATGCTCATGTTGGGGGGTTTGGTGGGAAAAAATACCATTCTTAGATTCAGACAAACGCAGTGAGGATCAGGAGCAGAGATTTTCAGTCCATGATTTCAGCATCTCAGTGTGGTTTTTGTTTGTCTCCCCTCTCATAGGCCAGCTGCCATCCAAGCCTTTGGTGTGAGTGCCTAGCAGCACCTCTATCTAAACCTAAACAATGTTCCAATGTGTGGATGGAAAATGTTCTGCACCCTGTGCTGCCTGGTTGAGGGCTCATTTAGAGAAGCAAAAAAACTTGTCTGCACATCCTTAGGCTCTGGCGGCTACCTCGCCGGTAATTCCAGCTTGCTTATAGACTAGAGAAGGAAACTCACCAGCCAGCAAGGCGAAGCCTGCCAAATTGCAAAAACAAGTGGCAGAAAACAGATTCTATTCTGGAGCACATCATCACAGTAGCTGGCGCAGAGGGACATGGCTCCAATTTTGGGCGGGGATGGGACACTGTGGGGATGGCCAGCAGTATAGTCAGGGGTCTCTGAGGGAGGAGCTTAGAAATGAGTGAGTAGCAGATGAAGGAGTGGCAAGTGAGGCTGGCAGTGAGGGCCACTGTTAGCCTCCTCATTTCTTAGTTTCTGATCATGTTGGCAGGATGGATGCTCACCAATTGAGCTTAGGCCTGGCCTTGCTCCAGGACCTGGCAGTAAAGGACTCAGTGTTTGCCAAGTCATTATAGGATGTACTCAAGACCATGCTGGATAGCCAGTCATTAGGTTTCTCTTGGGTTCCTGTTGCCCACCTGCCAAAGCCCAAACTCCCTGACATGGTATGAAGTTCTTCTCTTACTGCTCCTAGACCACGCTTCCCATTGCAGCTCCCACTCAAGTGCCCTTTTCTTTGGCATTAAACCTTCCAGTGTTCTTTGAGACATGGTCTTATGTATCCCAGACTGGCTTTGAACTCACTGTGTAACCGAGGATGACCTTAAACTTCTGGTCCTCTTGCCTCTACTTCTCAGAAGTGAGATTACAGGTGTAGGCCACCATACCTAGTTTATGCAGGGCAGGGGATTGAACCCAGCGCCTTGTGAATGCCAGACAAGTGCTGTACCAACTGAGATGCATCCCTGGTCTTCCAATGTTCTTTGAATGCATCAGGCTTGTCCCTTTTGTGTGAATGTCTCCTGCTCTTTTTTTCCACCCAGCAAACCTCTATTCCAAACCTGATATCCATGTCACCTCCTTGCTAAATGTAGATGCTAGGATGTTTTAAATTCTCTATTCTTTCTTTCTTTATTTTTATTTTATGTGTATGAATGTTTTTCTTGCATGTATGTAAGTGTAGCCATGTGTGCAATGTCTGAATGGGTCAGAAGAGGGCATGGGATCCCCTGGAACTGGAGTTATAGATAGTTGTTAGCTACCACATGGGTGCTGGGATTCAAACCCAGGTCCTCTGCAAGAGCAGTCAGTGCTCTTAATCACTGAGCCGTCTCTCAAGCCCCTAGGATGCTTTTTATTCACTGCCTCTGAAGTGCTGAGCAGTACTGGGGACTTGGGACTTCCCACGCACTGCTGTATACATTTTCAAGGCAATCCTGCCATGTTGATATGAATCCCTTCATTTTACTGTTAGGAGAAATGAGGTTCAAAGGAATTCATTAACCCATCCATGGACCAACACTTTGAATAGCTAGGAAGCTACTGAGTGACAAAGCTAGGGTTCAATTAGTCATTTAACAAATACTGTGATCTGACTGTGTACCAGACATCTTGGTTATAGTAGAGGAGACATCAGGCAGAATTAATTCCTGCCCTCATGTAGCTTATGGTCTAGACATGTGCAGGTGTCCATATATGATGGAGCTTCAGGGCTATGAATTAAAATTCACACTGAAAAGCTCTGTCCATCCTTCTCTGCTGGCCCTGGGCAGATTTTTGTTATTGTCCCTTGAGTCCCCACACTAGTCACAATTGCCACCCCTGATTGCGAACTCCCAGGGCAGTGGGGGTGGGGACAGCTTCTTATCTTTGTACCCCGGGTGCTCATCACAGGCCCTGTACCAAATGGGCCTCTTTTATACGTTTTTCCAGGAGGAGTGAACAGCTGGCTGGTTAGTTGGCAGCTAACAGGCAGAAGAGCACACGGGCCCAAGGCTCTGGGAGGCGAATTCTTCTCACCTGAGAAATATCCATGACAGAGTCACAACTGAGAGGTCTGGCAGAGGTGAGGTCATTGGAGCCCAGCAGGGTAGAGATGATCCCGTTCTGATCGATGCGTCTGATCATGGTGCCATCTACGAAGTAAATCAGTCCAAACTTGTCCACTGTAATGCCTGGGACAGAGAAGCCCAAACAGGAATTCAGTATGGGAGACAAAAAGGACCTGTGCATTAGAGAGCCTTGGGATTTGACAACCCATGCCCTGCCCCTGCATGATCTGATAGTTTCTCCCACAATACTCACCCTAACCTGCTGGGGTCTTGTACATGCTAGGCAAGTGCTCTAGCACTGAGCTATACCCTAAAGTCTTCAGTCCCCTTTGTTTCAAATTTTTTAAATTTATATTTTATTAGTTATTATTAGTATTTTGGTATTTAAAAATATTTTTTAAATTTTTTTATTTTTTGTGTATGGCGTGTGTTGCCTGCATGTGTAGGTAAGTGCACCCGTGTTGTGCAATGCCCATGGAGGACAGAAGAGGCTGTCGGATCCCCTGGAACTGGAGTTAGGACAGTTGTTAGCTGCCATGTGGGTACTGGGATTCGGACCTGGGTGATCTGCAAGAACAACCAGTGTTCTTAACCGCTGAGCCATCTCTCCAGCCTCTACTTTGGTCTTCTTAAGACTGGGTTTCCCTGTAGCCCCAACGGGCCTGGAACTTTCTTTGTAGACCAGGCTGGCCTTGAACTCACAGAGATCCACCTGACTCTGACTCCTGAGTGCTGGAACTAAAGGCGTGTGCCATCACACCCGGCTCTATTAGTTGTTTTTTGTTTACTTATTAATTACATTAAAAATCACTTTTATTTTATGTGTATGAGTGTTTTGCCCACATGTATGAGAGTGCACCTGTGTGTGCAATGCCTGTGGAACCCAAAAGTGGGCATTGGATCTGCTGGAATGGTTACAGATGGTTGTTAGCCACCATGTGGGTGCTGGAAACTAAACTTGGGTTCCCTACAAGATCAGCCAGTGCTCTCAATCGCCATTTTTCCAGCACCCCCACCCACAAATTTTAAATTATTTTTATTTTTTGAGATGGTGTCTCATGTAGCCCAGGCTGGCCTCAAGTTCCCTATGTAGCAGAGGATGACCTTGAACTTCTGATCCTCCTGCCTCTATCATAGGCTTGTGCTACCATGCTCAGTTTTATGCAGTGCAGAAATAAGGATTATTCTAATCCTTATTTCTGTTTCATTGGTTATTACAAAGCATAGTCTAAAAAGAATCTTACAGGCTTATGTAAAGAACAGGTTTGTTAACTTTAGGTTCTGAGGAAGGAAGGAAAGCACACTAAAGATAGGCGTGGGGATATTACTGAGCATCCTCCCCAGGGCTGTGTGACCAAGTGGACCTCTTGGCATCCATTTCCTTACCTATCAAATAAAGGGGCTGTTTTCAACCTGTATTTCTGCCTCAGGACTGAGAACTCAGGGGTTGCCCATAGCACCTCTAGGTGACTGAGAGAACCTCAAGTGGAATCTAGCATCTACCTGCACTTCTGAAATGCACCTTGGGAGACAATGATAGAAAACAGTCTGAGGGCCACTCCAGCAAACCATTCCTCCTGGCTAGAGATGCCTTTCAGAACCTCCTGGAGAGCTTTGGTCAATACACACCTGCTTGGCCTGACTCTTGGCAATATGACTCAGTGGGTGGTAGGGACTGGGACAGATGCACATGTTCAGATTCTTCCTGGGTGGTGTCCACCACCCATATCCAGGAGCCAGACACACCCCATCAATCTGTGACCTTTCAGGGATAACAGGTGATGGGGAGGCACAGGACTGAGTCAGAACCACATGAAATGCCATGGGAAACAAGAGACCCAGGAAGAGGTGGTGACAAGAGAGAACCTGGTCACTTTTGCTGTGCTCCATTTTCTTCTGGTCAGGCAATGGCAGAAGGGTTGGATGAGGTGTGCTGGGGGTGGGGGTGGGGATACAATTGGGCTATGAAGCTCCTGATTGTGTTACTTTGGGTGGCAGGTAACTTCACCTCTGATTCTTAGTCTCCTTATTGCTATATAGGGACAATAACACATGTCTTGAGAGGCTGAGGAGAAATCTCAGTTGGTGAAATACTTGCCTTATAAGCATAAGGACCTGAGTTCCAGCCCCAGAGCCCAGACAGAAAAAGCTGGCTGTGGGAGTGTACTTGTAATCCCAGCACTAGGGAGGTGAGGACAGGTGGCTCTCTGGCACTTACTGAATTCCTGGTCAGTGAGAGGCCCCGTCTCAAGAATATAAAAGGTGGATGAGCTTGAGGGATGACACCTGAGGCTGTCTTCTGGCCTCCACATACATGTACACACACATGCATGTGTACTCCTTCCACCATGTGGAATCCTTAGTTCCCGGTAGTCATTAAGGACTGCTATCAGAGGAGACAGCAACCAGTTCTTTGTGGATTCCAAGGCCTGGGTTCTCAGGTCTCTTCCTGGCCAGAAGGGTGGGTTAAGAACCCTTGGGATATCTGAGTGAATGCCACACTAGAACCCTCTTTTTTTTAAAAAAAAATTTATTATTTTAATTTTATGTGTATGTATATATTGCCTGTATATAGGTAAGTGCACCTGTGTCATGCAATGCCCGCAGAGGACAGAAGAGGCTGTTGGATCCCCTGGAACTGGAGTTACGGACAGTTGTTAGCTGCCATGTGGGTGCTGGGATTCAAACCCGGGTCTTCTGCAAGAACAACCAGTGTTCTTAACCACTGAGCCATCTCTTCAGCCCCCACTAGAACCCTCTTTAAAGGTATGGGAAGCTGGAACAGTACATTATGGAGGTACAAGCGACTTCAGGGCTGGGTGCCTTTGCTGTGGCCTGCCTAGAATGCCAATTAATTTACTTCCTTAAGCAGCAAGACAGGAGTCTGCCTGTCTGCTTGGCTATGCCCTGTCTCTCCCATCTGCCAGGACTGATGAGCGCGCTGTGAACAATTGGGTTTCTTGTTTACAAAGTTGGCTGCACAGGCTAATAGAAGTGATCTGTCCCCTGATTAATTACTTCATTTTTTCTCCTTTTGTTGTGCTAAATAGATGGACATCTTTTCTCCTCCCTACTGCAAAGTGTCTGCATATTGTGGCACCCTTGTCATTTCTATCTGGGTTAATTACAGGCTTTTGGGCAATGGCACCGCTACTCCATCTGTGTCGGGGGGGTATGGGGGGAGTGGGGGAGTGTGGAGGGAGGGACCACAGGCATGCAGAGCAACTGAGAAATGCCTGAGAGAAGAAAAATTTTCAGGGCAAGAAACTGTTTTAATTCAAAGAGAGTAGAATGTCACAGCTGACAGGGCCCCTGGGGATCATTTAGCCTAACCTGCTCATTTACCAACAGGGGAAGCGAGGTTTGGAAGAGGAGGTCCCAGGAGCAGAGAAAACCCACAATGTAGGATCCCTAAGTGAAAACTCAGTGATCACTTCCCATTGCCCTCTCAATACTAACAGATCACAATTAAGAGGGAATTTAACCACGGACGACACGGTATTTATCACACAGAGTTATTGCTTGACTACTCCATTAGTAGTAGACAATATGTTATGATGCTGTATAATGTTATGTGATTATACAACAATAATGAAAATACCAGGAATCTCCTATGATGAGATGTTTACTATGGACCTAGTTCTACTGTACTAGAAATTTATATCCCTGCTATTTAAGTTGGATTATAACTATGCAGTATGTCTGCATGACATGGAGGAAGAAAATATATTTCAGAGGGGTTAAACAACTTGCCCAATGTCACACAGTTACTGGACTACAAAGCCTGAATTTGAACACATGTTTTCTTAAGAGTTTACTAGTTTTTAAAATATTTTATTTATCATTTTAATTTTATGTGTCTGAGTGTATTGCCTGCATGTGTGTGTGTGTGTGTGTGTGTGTGTGTGTGTGTGTGTATGTGTGTACCTGTGTTGTACAATGCCTTTGGAGGTCAGAAGAGGGCATGAGGTCCCCTGGAACTAAGGTTATGGACAGTAGTTAGCCACAATGTGGCTGCTAGGAATCGAACCTGGATCCTCTGCAAGAACAGCCAGTGCTCTTAACCACTGAGTCATCTCTACTCCTGAGTCTACTAGTTTGATTTGGAGCCAGACTTTGAAATCTGGTGCTCTTTAAGGATATAATCATTTCTAGTATTTTTTCAGGGTATCATGTAAAATATCTTAATTTTGACTCCCAGAACAACCTTAAGGGGTGTATACAGATGGTGTTATTACCCTCATTCTATTGAGTAGGACCCTGAGGCATAGACACTGTTAGTGCCTGGCTATGGGACTTACAATACAGTAGATACCCTAGCAAAAGATGTCTTTAGCTAATGATGGCTTCCCCTTCTAGCCTCCTCAGTCTCCAAGGCACAGGGACCTCTCTTGGCTCGGAACCCCTATGCACAGTTCTTTCTTCTTGCATCTCAGGGATAGTGTCTGCTTCTCTCTCATAACAGACTGGTTCCCATTCAAGCCTCCTTTATTCTGCCACAATGGGCTTTACTATGTAACCGTGAAGCTCTGTGCACTCAGCAAATACTTGATGAATGGCTTGATGAATGAAAACTACTGAATATGATCACTTAGAATCTCAGCTTTTTGGTTGATTGATTTTTTTTTTTAATGTGCATAAAGTGCTTTGCTTGCATGGGTGCATATGCATGCAATGCCTACAGAAGCCAGGTGAGGGCATCAGGTCCCCCCGGAACTGGAGTTACAGACAGTTGTTAGCAGACATATAGATGCTGGGAACCAATCTGGGGTTCTCTGCAAGAGTAGCTAGTGCTCTTAACCACTGAGCCATCTCTCGAGCCTCAAGGTTCAACTTTTTGAATGTACTTTATAGCACATGAATATATGCAAAGAAGATACAGGACAATGTGTTTGTGTAGACAAAGGAAAGCCTGCATGCTCAATAGTAGGGAACTGATTAAACAATGGAGCATTAATTTGGTAAAGTCCTACATATTTGTTAAAAATGAGTACATAGGGAACATTTACTGACAAAGAGAAAAATTCATGATATATCACTTAGAAAAAAGCAGGTGACTAAAAGGGTGTGACTAATGTGATCTCACTTCATTTGTTTTAGTGACTATAACATGCACACAAACATTTAGGAGGAAAGATAGCCATTGTTAACTGGGAATATTTCTGGCTGGTGGAATTATCACAATCTAACTTTCCTCTGTATATTTCTTGGCATTCTTAAAAAATTGTAATGACAACAAATGCAAGGCCTTACCCCTGGGATTGGTGAGTGTGGCTTCTGTGGCCTTCCCACCATCCCCGCAGCGAGTGTCATCAAAGGGGAGGCATTGGTCACCAGTCCCTGCCACCACCTCAGAGTTCTTGACCAGGTCCTTTACCACTGTGGTGGACTTGATCTTGAAGACCCGCCGGGTGTTGGTGTCAGACAGGAAGACAGCTCCACTCATGGGGTCTGTGGCCAAGTAGTATTTGTTCGCTGGGCTGTGACTGGAAGAAAAGCAGAGCCAGCTCAGGTGAGCACTTTCTTCTCTCCATCACATAGCTAGAGATGACTATGGCCATACCACCCTGAACATGCCTGGTCTCATCTGATCTCAGAAACTAAGCACAGTTGAGCCTCGTTAATACTTGGATGGGAGATGTACAACCAGAGTCCCTAACTCATTTCAATCCAAGCAAAACTAAGGTTGACATTTCTATTTTAGGTGACTTTAGAGCTTGGTCTAACTATCCCTCACCCATCAGTTACTAATGCAAAAACTGACCTGGGGAGAGTCCTCAGTCAGTACTTTCCTTGAAAGCATGAGGACCTGAGATTGATCTCCAGAACATGTAAATAAAGTCAGGTGTAGAGGCATATGCTTATGCTTGTAATCCCAGCACTGGGGAGGCAGAGATGGGTGGATTTGTCACCTAGGGCTTATTGGTCATCCAGCCTGGCTAGTTAGTGGGCTCTAGATCAGAGAGAGACTCTGTCTCAGAAAAGAAAAAATAACATAAAGGTGCCTGAGGAACAAACACCCAAGGTTGTCCTCAGGCCTCCCCACACATGTGCACATACCTGCATGCATACTTGTACATATATATGTGCACCATCACACATACGTACATATACCCAAACCCCCATCAACACCTTTGCTGATGATTGCCTATATTAGATGCTAAAAGCATGTTTTCCTAAAAACATTATCAATAAAGCTTGTCACAGGAACACTGTTAATTCATGATAGGCATATGGAGGTACTTGACTTTAAATAACAATCCAGGGGTTCAGAGACCTAAGCCCTTCTTGCTAGGATTTTTTTTTTTCTCTCGCTAGGATTTTTACAGCAATCTCCAATTCCATCTTGGGACTAGTGGATAAGATGCTGGCTAGACCTGCCTCCTGCCAGTGTCTACACTGTCTTCTGTTGATCCTCATGATGGACTTAGCAGGAGCCCAGGAGTCTCCCTCCTGCAGTTGGGCACAAATGACTTGCACTATCAGTTTCTAATTTGTAGCAAACCCAAGGAAAAAGAATCAGGGACAGTGCTGATGAGGGTCTGTTTCTGGAACAAAGTCACCAAGAGTGGGCTCAGATAACAGGAAAGCAGTCAGATTATGAAGAAACATAAAAGGACAAGGCACTGCTCTAGCCAGAGGCTCAGGAAAGTGCCCAGGATAGGAGATGGGATCAGTCTGGATTCCAAGTTCAGCTCTGAAATTTGGGTGGGTCACCTGGCCCCCTGGCCTCAAGTTTTCATCATGTACAAAATGGGAGTGTAAACAGCTCTTGCTCATACATAGGAAAAATTACACGGAACCACAAATGCCAAGTGTTTATCATAATGTGTGGCATGCAGAAGGTGCTCAGTCATCAACTGCTGCTGAATGACTAGTGATGGTGTCTGCTTTTGCCTTTGGAGAATTCTTCCAGGCAGGCATCTCTTGTTAAGTCTGGATTCTGCTACCCCGTCGTACTACTGATTACAATTTCTTCTGAGTCTAGGGTACACTGGAGTTTGGCTTACCACTCTTGGGCTTTTAATTTTCAGCTCATGTGTGTGGTCTGATTATTCATTGGTCCCTAAAGCTGTGTCTCAACATTGTACATTTATCAAACATAGAGGTTAATTGCCCTTTTGAAAACCTCAGTTTTAGTTTACAGATTGGTGTTTATTACATATGAAGGTTGGGTTCCCATTGTGGTGTGTGTGTGTGTGTGTGTGTGTGTGTGTGTGTGTGTGTGTGTGTTTAGGGCCCTAGGGGGTCTTAGTCTTAGTCTGACCCTTACTGCTCATCGTTTAAACATCCCTTGATTTGGGTAGCAGTTTTCTCTGGGCCTGGTCTTTGCTGACTAACAAAGCCAGGTGCCCAGATTTGAGACCCTCTTACCCCTTTTTCTCCCCGAGTTCCACTAACGTGGCATAGCATTCTGCAGTGGCTTTTCCCCTCCAGCCCCATACTGCTATCCCATCCCCTCCTTATGAAGAAGGGCAGGATTTTCTGCCCCCAGCCTGGCCCTCTTCACATTCTTCTCCTGAACTGATCCAAATCTCATCAGATCATTTCCATGTTTCCCTTGCAGAACTCTCCTGTCTTTCAGAGGAAGCACAGATTCCCTGAGCCAGCAACTCCCTAGGCCTTTCTAGCTGGGTCCTGTCTTCTTAGCTCCTTCCTCACTGGCACTGCACACCAGCAACACCCACACCAATTCCCTCAATGCACTCTTGGCCCTGCCTATACCCACTTCTCCTGCTCTGCTCCCTCTCTTTGCCACTCAATTCCCCAGGGACTCACTCAGGGACCTTTTCCAGCAACACCCTCCCCCTACCTTTCTTCTCTGTGTCCTGGGGTTGTGCCTGTGGGGGTCATACCAGTTCGTGTCTTGACCACAGGACTGAGTACAAAGCCAGGCTTAATGGGAAGAGGCTGGATTTTATCCACTTCTGCATTTCCAGCCTCCTAGCCCTTTGGCAAGGCTCCTTGTCTCAAATAGAGGGAATGTCCATTTTCAGTCTATTTAGGTGGTTATTTGCATTAAAATTACTTAGCTTTTCTTTTACTTCTCATGGGGTCGATGGTAATAGCACAGATGTCCTGTTTATCTTGAAATGTCCCCTGGGACTTATCCTATAAGGCAGCACAGATTTAATCTTCCTAGACAACACAGATTCTGGCTTAATAAAATACAGTGACCTTAGATCCTGCTCCATAGTGCTGGAGCAGTCTGGTCTTCCAGCTTCCCCATGACAGCCAGGAGTCAGGGTGACTATTTCATTTCTGTGTGTGTCACTCATGATAAACTGGAGCTATGTACCTTGGCAGAAAGTGGTCCCCAAGGGAACATGGTGGAGGACCCTGTCCACTTAGATTAGCCCCTTGAGTTTCCAGCTCACGTCACCCTGAACTGCCCTGGAGAAGTGTCACTCAAGTGGAGCTTTCTCAAATGGGTGAATTCTATGAGAGGGTGGCCTTGGCAGGATTGTCCTAGGCTCTGCAAGAGTTGTGGCTGTGTCTTTTATGCTCAGGGCCACATTTGATGTCTGGTGATCAGTGAGGCATAGGGGAAGGAATGCTAGTTCTAAATTGAGAAGGTATGGGTTCTAACTGGGGCAAGTTACTGAAATAGTTCAAGTTGTATGTTGTTCAGCTGTCTAGGGATCAGGTCCCTGTCTAGGGCTCTGCTCTGCCCACATACAGGTCAAACAAAATGATCAGTAGTTCTTTGGATATTATTATTATTATTTTTTTTTTTTTAAAAAAAAGCTTGTTAAGACAGGGTCTTATTTATCTGGGCATCAAACTCACTGTGTAGCCGAGGCTAACCTTGAACTCTTGATTGTCCTGCCTCTACCTCTCAAGTGCTGGGATTACAGGTGTGTGCCATCATGCCTAACTTCTTTGGACATCCTTTAACTTGTTTCATTTTTTTGCTTGTTTGTTTGAGACAGGGTCTCATTCTCATGTACCCTAGACTGGCCTCAAACTGGCTACATAGTCAAGGATGACTATCGTGATCTTCCTGCCGTTACCTCATGAGTTCTTGGATTAAAGGTGTGTGTCACCAAGCCTGGTTTTATGTGGTGCTGGAGATGGAATCCAGGGCTGCATTCATACTGGGCAAGCACTTTACCAACTGAGCTACATCTCCAACATTTTTTCCTCATGAGAGCTAGCACTGGCAGCTGCACCTGTGTTTGTGGTACCTACCTGGCCTTCCCCTAGCCTATGTCACCAGCATCCTGTGGAACAGAGCTTTGGAGATAACAGTATGGATTCAGATACATCTGACACTTAAGGAAGTGATTCTGTCCCAGGCTCTGTGCTGGCACTTGACACACACGGCCTCATCTCCCCTACAACTGTCACATAAAGTAGGTACTGTTTTCTTATACTTCAGAAAACTGAGATGGAGTGAGATGAAGTACTTGACCAGGAGTGCAAACCGCAAAATGGATTTCAATCTGTGTCTGCTCGACTCCACAGTCTGTTCTTTCTATATCCCCACGTGGCTGCTCAGTCTAGAAAGTGCCAGGGCCCCTTTTCACTTGCCTAGCTCGAGAGAGTCAGCTGAGCAGGCCCCATCCTCCTACCACTCCCGAACCTCTGCTTCTTTGCCTGTAGAACACAGCATCCTCCATGTGTTTCCACTAGAGTGTAGGGAGGTGATGCTCTAGTATCTTTCAAAGGCCCTTGTCTGCTGAGTCATCTGTCTCCTCAAAAAAATCTGGAGCTCTTCCAGTGTAGAGACTGACTTCAAGTTCCATATTACCCACTGGCAGATGTGGGGGTGGCGGGGAGAGCTCTGGAAAGTTCTGCTGAATTTATGAGTGAATTCAGCATGCATGAGTGAATAAATTTGGCCTCCTTGGGGGTACACAGAAGCATGCACAGCTAGTGATCTTAGATTGATGGTTGTATATGTCAGAATCACCTGGAAAGCTAGAAGAAGCAATATGATCTAAAGTGACTGAAGGACCTGGGCTTCTGCCTTTGGGGTCTCTCCAGATGACTCCAAGGCACAGCTGGACTCGGGAATCGGAGCCTTAGAGCAGGGCTAGTCGAAATTCAGTGTGCATAGAAAGCAGTTGAGATGTTGCTAATGTGCAGATTTCAGGTCTGCAGTACAGAACCTGGCATTTCTGACAGTTCCCAGAGCATGCCAGTGCTGCTTGTCTGTACCTGGAGTGGCAGGCCTTGGGATCTGCTGCACCACAGGACATGTGGTGGAAGACGGCCTGTAGTGGAGGCCCCAGGCCCAGCTCTGTGGACAGGGAGCATTTCTAGCTCCAATTCTGATGCCTATGACTCTAAGCAGGGGCAGGTGTAGAATCAGATCACAGTGCTGCTCCGGAATTTGCTGCTGGAGGCCCCTAGGACCTGCATTGTTTTCTGGCTCAGTGAGTGGAAGCGTGGCAATGCTGGAAGGGACATGCAATCTTAGAGCCTTTAGGTCAGAATTCCTGAAGATAGTGAGGTGGATTACACCCTCATTCTACCTTCTTTTGTAAGAGGTAGGGAAGTTCCTGGTAGGGAACTGGGAGCTCAGGAGTCTCTTGTGACAAGATAACCTGTTCCCTACTTCTGAGTGAGAATCCTCCTTGGCCTCAGAGCAATTCTGCCTTGTACAAAGGAGTCTCCTTTAACTACTTCAGATGCAGCCCTGACAGAAAACCAGTTCTCTGGTTCTCACCAGTGGACAGAGTTGGGCATTGGAGCCAGGCAGGTAAGGGTTCAAACACCAGCTGCACTAGCCACTTGCTTAAATTTCCTTGGACAAATTACTTTGCGACTCTGAATCTCAGTGTTTACATCTGAGAAGTGGGAATCACATCAACTTCAAAGGGTTAGTTAGAGGCTAAAAACTGCACAAACAATATAAACTTCTGTGTATAGTGTTTGTTCTGATAAAGAATGAAATGTTTAGTAAATGGCAGCTTTTTATACATTCCAGACTGGCCTTGATCCCTCCACCTCCCGTGTGCTGGGATTACAGACGTAGCTCACCATTTCGTTTTTGTGGTGCTGGGGTTTTAATCCAGAGCTTCAGTTATACTAAATACTCTACTAACTAAACTACATCCCCAGTACCAAATGGCAGCTTTTAAGTAAATCTGGTCACCCTGAGAAACCTCTAGAATATTTATGTTGCTGGGTAATAGAAAAGCTATGTATTTGAGACACAATATCCTGTTACCCTATTTCCTGGGGGCAGTTAAGGGCTCTTTAATATGCATAGCTTGGTTTGAGGGAGACTTAAGTTCAAGGGTACTTTTAAGAACAGGCTTCCTACAGTGCTCCTTGACCCTAGGGAAGTCTAGGAAGAGGTGAGGATGCTAGTCTCTGAAGGAATCCACAGAGACTGATGCCAGAGGGACTATAGGCACTTGGCATACCCAGGATGGCAGGTCGTAATGAGGCTTTTTAAGCTAAAGACAGAGACAAAGCTGGGGTTATACATACATAGGCTCAGGTTCCTGTGGAGCCGCATGCAACTACTGGGGGAGGTAAAGCACTGCCAGACAAAGAGGACCAACTTCCAGAATTTCTTTACTCTATCAGTACTCACTGAAGGGGACATTGAGGCTCAGAGGAGGAAGGGATTTGCTAAGATTCAGGTACCAGCCCCAAATCACAGTTGGAATTCGGGTTTCCTGCCTCCCGATTAGCTTTGGGAAAGTAGCAGAAATAGGCAAGTCTCCTTTTCCACTTAGATTCATTTGAGGAAAATGACTTTAGGAAAAGTTAGAAAACAAGGATATTTCTCCTCTGGGAAGTGAGCAGGTGGGGAAAACAAACCAAGAAAGTAATTATGTTTTCTATTTACTTAGCTGCCATTTACTTACTTAGTTTGAGGTCCGATTACCTTCTCATTTTTAATTTTGGTCCCAATTTCTACTTAGTTTACCTCATAGGTGTGTCATTGGCGGTAAGAGGACTCAATTCCATATTTTTGGGAAAGGTGGAGGTATTTCTGTCATCCTCATAATTATAACAAATGATGGTATACTAACAACAAAACCAACATACATAGGTCATGACTGTTACTACTACTACCACTAGTAATGCTTCCCCTATAGAAATTTCTGGAGCTCCTCTCTCTTCCTAAAAATGGCCAACACTTTGTAGACATCCTTTTTGTCCCTTATGACAATTTTAATAACTCCAAGATAAAAATAAATGCTCTGAGAGATGAAGCTATCATTTCAAGGCCATACACTGGGGAGCTTGAGCTACCTTGTTAGTAAACTGGATGTAATCACAGATGTCTACCTCACAGTGATTTGGGGATAAAATGGTGTTATTCATGTGAATTGTATAACTCTGTTATGCAGTAAATGTTCCACGCATGGACTATGATTACTTTATATATATATAAAATATCCCCTTATAGAGCCTATATAGAAGTAGATTTAATACTGACTGGTGGTTTAGGCTTCACCTGACCCTTCACCATCCCAAAGAATGTTCTTTTAACTCAACTTAGCACCATCCCATGCACCACTTACCCTGAGTCTTACATGGATAAGTGAGAGTCACCTCTGTAGCCTCACAAACCACAGCTCTATCTGCTTAGGTCAGTTTTCAAATCTATTCAATGACACGGCTCTGTGTGAGGACAGCTCTCTGTAACGAAGTCCCCATGACACTGTCCCAGCTGTAAGATCTTCTGGTGGGGTCCCTGGCCTTCCAAGTGCTTCAGCTTGGGTCTGGATACTGTCTTTTATTGTTCACCTGCCCCAGATAGTCTCAGCACTTTTCAGCCTAACCATTAAAGTCACTCAACAGTCTAGATGATGTCCCATTCTAATGATTAAGCAGGCTGTGGCCCTCAAGTTCTTCCTCTTATTGCTCCAGTCTGTGACATCCACCGGCTACAGGGCAGGTGCCTCACTTTGCCATAGGTACAAGGAGTTCAGGCCTTTGCTGTCTACTCCTCTGCTATTAATGACATGCTTTCATTGCATGCCACTGATTATTCCCAATCAGCTTCAAACCACACAGGGTTCCTTTGCCATTGAGTCATCTGAAATTGACAAATGCGGCTTACCATACAGCATGCAACAAGGCAGGGGAGAGGCAGGAAATTCTCCACCGGTTGGCTTACCTATGTCTGAAATCTTTATTTCTGACAGAAGACGGGAGAGCAGGGAATAGAAGAAAGAACGAGGTGTTAGCAGCAGGGTTAGAAGCATTATTAGCAGCTGAAAACTTGACAGCAATGGTACTGTACAATACTGTAATAAATAAAGACTTAGCAGCCCTGACACTGATACATTTTATATTGGACACTCCTTGTCAGTGAGTTCACTTACAAGCAGCTACATTTCACAGAAGAGGCCTGGCCTCACCTGCAACACACTGCTGATTTCAGGGAAGAGGCCTGACACACTGTGTTGCTTTAACAAGGGCTCAGACAGAGAATGGAAGAGTTGGTTCTCTTCCCTGGGTAGACACATGCCCAGAGAGACATAGACTCACTGCTCCTGGTCTCTATGAGTTCTCAGAATGTGGGAAGCCTACCAAGAGCCTACCCAGAACAGGGCATGGAATTGGAGAACAACTGTAATTAGGGACAGTGACAGAGAAAGAGGCTAAGGCTGTAAAGACTGGAGGAAGGTATACCAACAGGATATATTTTCTTTCCGAATTTCATTTATTCCTTCCCCTCTTGCTGTCTTACATGACCCTTTAAAAAGTTATGGGGGGGAGGGGGAGGCAAGGAAAATGGGATGCCTCATTTGGAGGATGTGGAAATGGGAGGCCCAGAGAGTTTTAAATTTTGCCTGAAGTTGCACAGCTTCTCTGCTAAGGTGAACTGATCCCTTGTCCAGGGCTCTTTCCACCACAGTACATCTGTACAGCTAACCTAAGCCCATACCCCCAAGGGTTCCTTCTTCCTTGACAGATGTCTGTGCCAGTCAACCTCACAATAAAGAGGAAAGGCAGAGAATATTCCATTGGTGTCCAGTATCTCACTGAGCCTGATGTATGATTTTCTAGGCACCCATAGCATGTGAACTTCCTCATTTTCCTGTGGTAGGGGTATATACCCCACTTCTCTTAGGACGTGGTGGCCATCAGGCAGTCAGCACATCTTATCTTACTTTCAAGTGTGTCACAGAATGACATCCTTCCAGAAGAGAATGACTTTATAAGATATTAAATAGAGAGACTCTCATTAGGCTGGCTGTCAGTTCTTTGCTGAGGCAGAGCTGTGCAATGACCTTCTGGGTTTGGGTCCCCCATTCTTGAAGCTGGACCTTGGGCAAGCACTTTAAGTTGCCTGAGCTTCCCTGTCCTCATTTACCAAAGGTTGATAATGGCCAACACCTCATAGAACTATCACACAGGGTAAACAGTAGGAGCCTAAGTGCCCTTCCACCCAGCTCTAGGCCTGGCCTGCTCATGTGGCCCTAACTCAGGAGATGATAGGATAGGTATATCTCTTTCTTCAAGACATTTGTGAGGAAACTTGCTGCAATTTCTTCTGAACTTGAGAGTGGGATGCCCCGTCTCTAAAGTATTAAAATATAGCTTCTCTGTAACCACAGACCTCATCATATGCCAGTGCTTTGGTTCTAAAAAGACCTGGCTCAGGGAAGCACAGGGAAAAATGCAGGAGCAAAAGCCTGGTGTACCTGTGGAAGCCGAGAGTCATTGCCCAGCTCAGCCTGGGGCCTCTCCTCATCTCAAGACTGGCCAGGCAAAAGGAATCGTTGGTGCTAAGGTACAGGGCCAAACTTGGTGACATTTTCCCACTATGCTTTGTTCTTATAAAAAGATTCTTCACAACCAATTCTGTCAGTTTAGTGCAAACAGAAGGATCAGTGGCTCTGAGGGGACTAATTTTCAGCTTCCAGTAGCCTTCCACATCATCTGGATGTGAGGGGCAGGTCTGTCTCAATGGTGCCTTGTCTTCATTCCAGTATACCAGGGAGGCAGCCCCTGATGGCTCTGGGAAATAAAATGTCCCAGAGTGTGACAGTCCCAGAGTGAGGCTCTGTCCTCTTCCACTTCTCTGGGCCCTGTAGGTAAGGCAGTTGGGCCCCATGACTGCAAGGAGAGACATTATCAGGAGCCATGAGGAAGGCACCCCCTTACATACCTCAGCTCCAGGATGTTGGTGACATTTCCAGAGGGGAAGATCCTGCGGATGTAATTGAAGTCTCCCACATACAGACTCCCATCAGAGCCACAGGTGAGGGCCACTGGTGCCAGGAGTTTGTTTCCATCAGCAAGGCCATTGCAGCTGGGGCAGGAGATGCTCCTGCGGCGCCCATTGCCCATGATGCTGCCAATGACTGGTGGCTGCTGAGACACAAACTGGTTCTCTCCGTTCCCTTTGTGCAAGATGCCTGGAACAAGGACAGACGATCAGCATCACTGAGGGTAGATCACAGTTTCCATAAGGTTTTAACACTTCCAGAGATGTCTTAGCATAATGAAATCCAGGGGAACCTGAGCAAGCCCCACTATTTACTGAATTCTTATCCTAGGCCTATAAGATGGCATTGTTATCCCTGTTAGGACAGAAGGAATAGACCAGCAGTTTAGTCAAGGCCGCACAGTCAAGAAGCAGGTAAGCCCACCAGAATGTGTGTGTATGTGTGTGTGTGTACATGCGGGTGCAGCTAGAGGGCAGAGGATAACCTCCACTGTTCTTCCTCAGATACTTGTTTTTTGAGACACGGTCTCTCATGTGAGGTTGGTTAGTCAGTGAGCCCCAGGGATCACTTTGTCTCCTCCTCTCTAGTGCTGGGATTACAACATGCTACCATGCATGGCATTTTCATGTCGGTTCTGGGAATGGAACTCAGGTCCTTGTAAGCTTGCAAACCAAGCCCTTCATTGACTAAACTATCTTCTCAGCCCCTGAGTCCAGTTCTGGATCATTCTGGCTGTGCATCTCTACTGGGTTAATACGTGTATGCTCTTGCTTTTCTCTTTTTCAGCTAATACCATTTGATGTGTGGACGCTGTCTTTTCCCTTTCTGCATCCCCAGTGCCTAGTACAGAACATGACACAGAGTAGATACCAATAAATATTTATAGAACAAAGGAGAGAAACACACAGCCTCTGCTCACCAAGGTAGAGTCAGGCTTTTATCTGGTTTTGTAGCTAATAGACCAATGCCACATCTTACAGAGATCTCAGGTCTTTTCCATACTCCTACTGCTCTGGGGCCTCAGTTTCCCACCAACCAAATAGGGGGTCTGACTTCAATGACTTGTAGTCTTCCTCTCACACCTACACTGTTTTTTTTTTTTTTTTCCATTCCTGACCATCCTTTCTCACCTGTGTATTGCCACAGATTTCAACTTGGACCCTGCTTCCTGCCACAACTCCCTCCACAAAGCCTGAGTGGGGCTGGGCTCTCAGAGGTCACAAGAATCTTCTTTCAGACAGTTACCTTTTAGCTTTGCCCAAGCGATGTCCTTTATTAGATACATTTACTTTTTTATGTTTAATTTTTATGTTCCCAGAAGTTCTTTCTTGAATTTTAAAGACTATCTTATATTTTCTTCTGTTAATTTTAAAGTGCTTTTACATTTGGATGTTTAAAAATATTAAAATTTATTTTGAGTGGACTAGGGGCTTAGTATACTTTTTTTCTATACATATTGAGCCAGTTTTCCCAGTAATAATTTCTGAAGCACTCATCTGTTCTCCAATGATATTTGACGTTCTTTCTACAGAATATGAAATTTTTATTTATGAGAAGTCTAATGCGCTATCCATTGTGTGACGGA